GCTTTCAGGACTATATAGTGAGCGCCCTCCTGGTGTGCCCTCCTCTCATCTTCAGACAAGGTCATAACCACCCAGTCGCGCGTTTGGCCAATATTTAGCCAATATTGCAGGCACTGTGCTCGAAACCAGTTTCCATTGAGTCAACTCCAACTCATGGCGACCCCATGTGTGTCAGAGTAGAAGATGCTCCATAGGATTTTCAATGACTGATTTTTCAGAAGTAGATCGCCAGGCCTTTCTTCCAAGGTGCCTCTGGGTGGACTTGAACCACTAACTTTTTGGTTAGCAGCCAAGCACGCTGATGTTTGCACCACCCAGGGCTAGGGGGTAGGGATAATGCAGCCAACACACAGATACAAGTCGGCCTTCAGAAAGGAAGTTTACCTTCCACTAAGGCATGCATTCTCAACAGGGAAGATAACACCCCATGGGGGTGAAAATTGGTTCTTAAGGGGTGAAAAAATTTTTAAGCTATTGCAATGGTTTATATGTCTTCACCTTGTTTATGATCTCAGTGAGTGGCCCATGCAGCCACTCAAGCAGAAACCTGGGCATCATCACCAATTCTAGCTGCCAGCCCTCCGTGACCTCAGTCTTTGGTTCTGGGCGTCATGGTGGCCCAGTCCACAAAGCCTTCCACTGTTGCCCTGAAAATTGACCCCATCTACCTTCAATTCCTTTCCTATCCAGCCTAGATCCTGGAGTCCAGCAATTCAGTATCTCTTTTGCTAACACTTTAGACCTCTATGCCTTTTTCTCCAGCCATTTAGCAAAACTCTAGGCCTGGAAAAGCCCCACTAAGTAAGTACCTTCCACTTGCCTGCATCTGGGCAGCTGAGCCTTGCTGAAAGAAATCACTCAGCAAGATAGGGTTCACATAAATGAATGACCACTGGCCCCAACTAGGTTGTTAACACTACCAGGCAGTTGTGTTTTTTGTGGGCAAGTTGCTTCTCAACTCTGAATGATCACTCTCCTCCTTCCTTCAAACTCCTCACCACCTCTTCTTCACTCTCAGCAGAAGACCTTGCCACCCACTTTGCAGAAAAAATAGAAGCTAAAGATGAAATCTCCCTTAGCATCCCACAGCAAACCTACATCTACATCTGCACCGTCCTCTCTTTGTTCCCTCTTTTGGTTCTGCAGAAGTCATCCCTCCTCCTCTCCAAGACCAACCCTCCGCCTACACGCCTGATCCCATCCCCTCACACACGCTGGTGAAGACTGCTCCATGATTAACTCCCCTATTTCTCACACCCTTGATTAATCTCCCCTTGATCTGCCATCGGAAACCCTGGTGGTTAAGAGCTATGGCTGCTAGCCAAAAGGTCGGCAGTTTGAATCTACCAGGCACTTCTTGGAAACCCTGTGGGGCAGTTCTACTCTGTCTTGTAGGGTCACTATGAGTCGGAATCGACTTGACGGCAATGGAGTTTGCATCTGCCATCAGTTTTAAACGGACTCCAGTCTCTTCCACCTTAAAACACACCACCCTCCAACACACACATTGACCACGTCATCTCTCTCCTCCCCTTCACACAAATACACACACACACACACACACATGCAAACAAAAGACCCACTGCCTCCTTCATCTCCCCTCCACTCATCAGACCACAGCATCGGACTCTCACTCTCATCACTCAACAGAAATGACACTCTCTCAGGTCACCAACAGAGTCCCTGGGTAGTGCAAACGATTAATGCACTTGGCGGCTAACCAAAAGGTTGGTGTTTCAAGTGCATCCAGAGGCACCTCAGAAGAAAGGCCTGGCAATCTACTTGTGAAAAATAAGCCAATGAAGCACAGCTCTACTCTGACACACATGTGGTCACCATAAGTCGGAGTCAACTCATCTGCAACTGGTTTTAAGGCCATCAGCAATCTCCATGCCTGTCATGAAATTGAGCCCATTGCTCATTCTTCACCGAGTCATCCTTCTCTTACCTCTCTGGCTGCTCATTCTCAGTCTTTGCAGGCATACCCCCCTTTTGTTGCTGTTGTTGTTAGCTGCCAAGTTGGCCCCTGACTTACAGTGATCCCACGCACAACAGAAGGAAACTCTGCCTGGTCCTGTGCCATGATTAGTTGCAGATCAAACCATTGTGATCCATAAGATTTTCATTGGCTGACTTTTGGACATAGATTGCCAGGCCTCTCTTCCTTGTCCATCTTTACTCTGGAAGCTTTGCTGACACCTGTTCAGCATCATAGCAACACACAAGCCTCCACTGCCAGACAGGTGGTGGTTGCGCATCAGGTGCATTGGCCGGGAATCGAACCTGGGTCTCCCGCATGGAAAGCAAGAGAATTCTACCACTTAACCATCAGCATGACCCCATATCTCCCTTTACACAGACCTAACGCGTGGGAGTGCCTCAAAGCTCCACCTTGGGCCACCTTGTCTTCTCTCTCCACCTTCATCTCCCTGAACAATCTTGTCCTCACCCACAACCTCAATTATCATCTCTCTGTGGACAACTTCCCACCTTCATCTCTAGCCCAGACCCCTATGCTGAGTCCAGAGCCAGGTTTCCACATTCCTACTCAGCGTCCACACTTTGGGTCTCAATGGCGTTTCAAGCTCAACATGTCTAAAGTAGAGCTTACACTTTTTGCCTCCTCCTTCACTATCTCCCCTCCATGCTCAATGCTCTCACCCCAGTCCTCTTTCAGTTTTTCCTATCTTGATGAAAGTTACTGTCCACTTGTCTGCACAGAACTCAGAGTCCATCCTGACTCCCTCTCCTTCACCCTCCCATTCCAGCACATCTCTATGATGATTTTACTTGCTGAATAACTCTAGGAACCTTCCACTGCTCTCCACTTCCACTGCCATCCCTGCATCCCCCACTTTGGCCACCATTATATCCCCTCTGGATGCCTTCCTAACTGGTCTTCCCTCATTTACTTGGATACTTACTACTCAACTCTCTACTGGGCATTTACACTGGTCACCCTTAATGTGGCCGGTCCTTAATGTGGAACCTGCCCTCTGCCCACCTTCTGCACTCCCCAAGCTACAAAGGCCTTCCCTTACCTCTCTGCTCAGCTCTACCTCCTGCCTCAGACCCTTTGCACAGGTATTTCCCTCTGCTCAGGATTCTTCCCTCCACCTTCCCCTAGACACAGTTCAGATTTCCTCACAAACACCATTTCCTCAGGGAACCATTCCCGAACCCCCAGGAAAAGGTAGAGCCCTCCTTCCTGTTAAATGCTTTCACAATAATAGGTAACACACATACAGTGTTTATTATTAGGAGTTCTAAGCATTTCTGCTTAGTATTCAATTACCCCTCATGAGAACCCTATGAGGTAGAAATTATAATTATCTCCATTTTACGGGTGAAGAAACTGAGGCACAGAGAAGTTATATCACTTGCTCAAGGTCACCTAGCTAATAAGAGGCAAAGCCAGAATTTTAGCCCAGGAGTTGTGATCCCAGTAGCTTTGAAACATTCTGCTATTCCATAAGAAAATGTTATCTTTTTCCTTCCTGCACTTAACCAGTGTTTATAACAGTGTATTTGTATGACTATTTAACATCCGTTTCCCCACTAGACTGTAAGCTCTATAGGGGTAGAGACTGTTTCACCCCCAACAACAGGTGCTCAACAAGTATTTGTTAAATGGCTGAAAGTAGATTAGTCTTCTCCCTCTTCCTCACTCAGCACACCCAGTCAGCTACCTGGGCCTTTTCATATTCCTTCCTGGAGGAGGGTTTCCTAACCCTAGGAAGTTAAGGTATGTGCTTATCCTTGTCCTGAAATTGGGTGGAAAATTCAATGTGTCTGTACACACGCAAAATTTTCTAGAGCAAGGGCTGTGGTTTATGCTGTCATCAGATTCTCAAAGGGGCCCAAGAGATTAAGACCAGCTGAATTAGATATTCCCCAGCCCAGCTCATCCTCTCCCTGCCACCCTACCCTCAACACTAAACAGCCCACATCTAGTTTTGCTCCCCACAAGTCCATCTTGCATGCTTTGGTTATGGCAGTCTTTTCACAACGAAAGCCCGTGTCACACTCTTGCATAAAGCCAGCCAGAGGCTGTCTATTGTCCTTGGAACAAAGCCTAAACTGCTGGAAGTGGAGAGATTCTTGTAGGCCCTGTCTACTTCTCCTCCTGTGTCCTTAGTTGTTCCTCTTCCCCCCAACTCTACAGCCCAGCAGCACAGAATGCAGTTGTGTGCTCTGGGTTCCCAGCCTACACGGGGGGGTTTTTCCTGCCTATACTCATGCGTTGCCCTCTTCTTGGGATGCCAATCCTCTGTACCTAGAAATTCCTACTCCACCTTTAAGATTCAGTTAAACGTCTCTTTTGGGTTGGATGCCCCTCCTCCGTGTTCCCACAGGCTGTGCCTGTCCCTGACAATTGCACATAAAGCATCGAACTATAGTTGCTTGGTTACCGACTGTCTCTCTGACCCCTGCAAGCTTTGAGGGCTGCCGCCACGTCTTATTCGTCTTTTTATTCCCCTAGCTTAGCCCAAGGTACGGTACTTAATAAGGATTTGTTCAATAAGTAAATTAATTAATGAATAAACTAATGACAAACAGTGCCTGGTTCGTGGATCCTAAAAAAAAATGCGTGAAAAGAGTCAGTGAGCGGGCAACTGGAAGTTTGGGTCTAGAAAAGATGCAGACTAGGGCGTTCAGAGATGAATAAAACCCAGTTGCAGCGGTCAGACAAATCGCTTCAAGGAAGAAGTCTAAATAAAGGATTCCGAAGGAGTCATTCATATCATGGCTGGCCCAGGGGGCGGGGCCAGGTCAAATCCCTCCCATCCCCCCCTCCAATGGGAGATCTTGTTGACCTCTAAGCCTCCGCCCCTTTCGCCCGCCAGGACCGGAGCCGCCGCTCAAGGATAAAAGACTACATTTCCCGGAGTGCCGTGTGGCCGTGGCGAAGGAGGAGCCGGAAGTGGGGCGCGCGAGGTCTAAGGGCACGAGGGAAGTGGCGGGCGGGGACGGGGAGGGGGGCGTGCAGGTGAGCTGACGGGCTGGGGGTTGCCGGCATGGCCGAGGCCAGGAAGCGGCGGGAGCTGCTTCCCCTGATCTACCAGCATCTTTTACAAGCGGGCTATGTTCGCGCAGCGCGGGAAGTGAAGGAGCAGAGCGGCCAGGTGAGTGTGCGAGTGTCGTGTGCGAGGCCCACGTGCAGGATCCGGAGAGCAGCACCCGTGCCCCTTCCCGCAGGCGACATGACGGGTGCCCGGAGCCAGATTTTCCTGTTCTCAGGGGCGCGGGCCGGGGGAGCCCGAGTAGCTACAACCTCAACCCTCGCTGCAGCTCTCATTGTCTGTGGGCCTCAGTTTCCCCATCTGTGCAGTGGGCGGGCCGGGACCTGTGATCTGACGCTTAGGGCTTTTGTAATTCCCGCGCCCCTCACCTCTGCTCCCTTCCTGGAAGCAGCAGGTTAAAGTTTCTTAAGTCTCGGGCCACGTGGCCCCGCGCGGCACCCTGGGGCAAGTAGGTTGCCACGGGTTTGAGGGGCGGATTTCGACCAGCTCCGGGAGGGACCGCCAAGAGGAGGGCCCCCTTAGTTGAGCGGGGACTCAAACCTTTAGAGAGCCTCTGTACTGAGTCGGACAGCTTTGGGATTAGAATTTGTAGCGCAGTCTTTTCTACGTCATTCATTCAGCAACTGTTAATCAGGTGGTAGAATGGTAATCTCGGTTCTTCAGCCTTCTTGCGGAGTTTACAGTCTAGTAGAGGAGAGGGACATAAATCACAAAAGTAACTATAAACTTTACACTACATGAAGTGCCAAGGAGAGGCACAGGGTGCTAAAACAGTGTATGCCAGATTGTCCTTGTTACAAGAGATACCTGAGACTGCTTCCCTCAGGAAGTGACTGTTGATTTGAAATCCGAAGGAGGAAAGTGGATATTCCAGGCAGAGGTCCAAATACCCTGTGGTAGAAGGGAGCTTGTTTTTGTACATACTGGCCTCAGGAAAGGTCCTTGAGGCTGGAGCATGGAGGACCAGGGCAGTAGAGGTCCCCAAGGAGACAACAGAGGGAGGCAGGGGCTGGCCCAAGCAGGTCTTGTAGTTAGTTTGGTCTTAAGCCGAAAAAGCAGTGGGAAGCCACTGGAAGGTTTTAAACTGGTGATTGAGAGGGACTGATTAGTCAGTATCCCGGGCCTCCTGAAGAGATCAAAGGGTGATGGGCCCTGAGATGTTATCTATGTTTTTCCCAGCCCTCCCTGGGCTTTGGAGCACATGCCTAGGAAAATTGTCCTGCCCTCATGGAATCTACATTCAAGCAAATGACAAATATAAAAAGTAAGTTAGTGGTGCAGTGTGTCATGTGATGATAGGTGCTGGCTATAAAAATTAAGCAGCCAGGGGGATTAAGGAGTGTCAGGGGTACAATTGTAAATTGAGTAGTCTAGGAAGCCTCACTGAAAAGGTGACATTTTGGGCAGAGACATAAAGGAAATGATGGAGTGAGCTATGCAGTTAGCAGGAGAGAGAGCATTCCAGACCCTGCTGGGGGTGGAGTAGGGGATGGCCTGCCACGTTTAAGGGACAGTGAGGAGGCCTGTGTGTTTCGCTGGGAGCAGAGTGATGCTAATGCTTGATATTTCAGGTTTATGGAAAGTCTTCGTTATCTAGGGCTGCTGTAACAAATACCACAAGTGGGTGGCTTTAACAAACAGAAATTTATCATCTCACAGTTTAGGAGGCTAGAAGTCCGAATTCAGAGCGCCAGCTCTAGGAGAAGGCTTCCTCTTTCTGTTGGCTCTGGAGGAAGGTCTGTGTCTCTTTTGGGCTTCTGTCCTTCCCTCGATGATCTTCGTGTGTCTTGGCATCTATCTTGCCCCACCTCTGCTTCTTTCCCTTGCTTGTTTAATCACTTTTATATCTCAAAAGAGATCAATTTAAGACACACCATAGACTAGTCCTGCCTCATTAACTTAACAAAGACAGCCCATCCCAACTGGGATTATAACCACAGGCATAAAAGTTAGGATTTACAATACGTATTTTTGGGGGACACAATTCAAGCCATAACATGGAAGGAACCTGAAGTTTGAAAAGGTTAGCCCAGGGTTACCTAGCCAGGTAACAGAAGACCTTTGACTCAAACCCAGGCCTGCTTGACCCTGAAAGCACACTGTTGGCCTTACTGCCCTGCTCCCTGAGCTCTCTGCCCTCACCCCACATTGTTCACTCAGCTTCCTTGGGGTACCTGAAACTTGAGGTGCTTGGCATTTCCAGAGAGAGTCGGCCTCCTGTCCTCAGTTCCAAACGCCTGGATTCCACCTGGTGTTCTCTGCTTCCACCGAGACACTGACACCAGTTGGGCCCAGCCTCTTCCAGTGAAGCAGTAGACTTAGGTTGTGCCCCTGGAATGCCTTGGGTGTCTGGACTGTGGTTTGTACTGTCCTGGGGAGATCCATCAGCCAAACCTTTCAAGGCCTCTTGAAAGGTCAAGGGTGGAAAAAGCCCCATCTCATGGCCTCTGAGGGTGGAGAGTACCTGAGAGGCCAGAAGCTGGGTGAATGCTAGCCTGGAACATTCCAGCTCCAGCCTCTCAAAGATGCCTCTCACCAACATGTCTGAAAAGGTTTTACCTGGAATTGCTTGCCGTGATTGTTTCTGGATGGTTTTGGATGGACTGGTAGGGCTAAACAGGCATGTTTCCCAGAGCAAAAAGACCCCCTTCTCAGCCACCTATCTGTGCATGTCATGAGGTCAAGAATAGCTGGGCCCAGGGAAGGCCCTTCCTGTGCTGGGGGGTTAATTGCTGCCTCTCTTTATTTCTCTGCAGAAAAGTTTCCCAACTCAGCCGGTAACTCTTCTGGACATCTACACACACTGGCAACAGTGAGTCTGGTGGGGCTGGGGGTGGAGTAGGGACACCCCAAGCAATCAGCTTGTAATGAGCCAGGATGCTAACCTGGTCTAAGATGTGTCCCTAAGCCCACTGTGGACGTAGCCCCCTGGAAACCAGGTCACATGGATGGGTATTACTGGGCGGCATCTGGGTATGGTAGGGGACTTTGAGAGCTGTGGTCTCTTAAGGACAAAAACTTCTCAGCAGCTTGTCATTCATTTGATCAGCTTTTACTAAGCACCTACTGAATGCCAGGCCCTGTTCTAAGTATGGAGATACTGTGATGAGTGAGACAGACGTGGTCCCTTGTTTCCGGGAACTGACATTGTAGTCAGGGAGGTAAACATGAGTCAGAGAATGAAATATAAAATTACAGTGGTTGTAAGGATTACAAAAGGGAGTTATCTGGTGCCCAAACCACATACATGGGCCAGCCTGGCCTTGTATGGGGTTTGGGACGGGGTGGGGGGCTTCCCTGAAGTGACTTTTGACTTGAGAGCTAAAGGAAGTGGAGGAGTGAACTAGGCAGTAGGTGTGGAAAGGTGGGAAGGGTGCACTTGGCATTGGGAACTGCGGTGCCAATTGATGCCTGTGGCTGGGAGACTGTACAGGTAAGGCTGGGGGGCAGCAGGGCCCACCCCATACCAGGCCTGGCAATCCATGGTGAGGGGAGGCTTTACCTCAGGAGTAGCAGGGAGCCATGGAAGGGGAGGCAAGGTGGGATGTAATCAGACTGGCACTTCGGCTGCAGCAGGAAGAGACTGGTTGGGAACTGTGATGACATCCACGCAAGAGGCGGTGGGGCTTGACACAGGGATATGAGGGTGGAGAGAAGCGGACAGCGGATTCGAGCAATGTGAGGAGGTGAAACCAGAATCTGCGAGTGGGTTAGAGAGGAGGTGTCAGGTTGACTCCCTATTGTCTGGCTTGTGCACCTGAATGGAAGGTGGGTCTGTGCATGGAGCTGGAAGGGAACCCCGTTTGGAGGGAAAGATTAAAGGACATGCTGAGTTGAAGTACCTATGAAACATGAAAATTTTTTCAGGGAAGAAGAAATAATCCAAGGGTGTATCAACAGAGGAATAATTTGAGAATGAAGGAGGGGTTAATAAATATTCTCTCCCATGCACTGGCCTGACCACAGCTGACTAGGGATTGAAAGTCCTGTAGTCATGTCGCATGAAGAATGGGGGAGAATATTGAACTGTCTAGGATGGAAAAGAGATGGCAAAGGGGCAGGTGAGAGGGGTGAGGGACCAATGTCTGCACATCTTGGAGGACAAAGGGAGTAGTGCGTTCTCTGGGGCCCCAGCAGGCAAAGGTGGGACCCATATGTACCTGCTTTAGGAAAATAGGTTTCAGCTTCTAAATGCAAGCACTTGATCATCAAAGTGATCCAAAAATGAGGTAGGCTATAGTGGGAGTGGTGAGCCTGAGTCATCAGGGGTGTGTAAGCAAAGGTAAGAATATTGTAGAAGGTGTTCCATCCTCCAATGGAGAGCTAAAAACAAAAAAAACCCATTGCCATTGAGTCAGTTCCAACTCAGCAACCCTATAGGACAGAGTAGAACTGCCCCATAGGGTTTCCAAGGAGCGGCTGGTGGATTCAAACTGCTGACCTTTTGGTTAGCAGCCTAACACTTAACCATTGTGCCACCACGGCTCCAATGGAGAGTTAAGGTCATTGATAAACCTGCTAGCCCTCAGGGTCTTGGTTTTCTTCTGCTGCTAAGTAAAGCTCGGAGCACAGGGCATACCCGGCACTTCCTCTCTCTTGCCCTCTCTCACTCACAGCACTTCCTTCCTCAGAGAGATGCTTCAGCAAGCTGCACCTCACACCCGCTCCTGCCATTAGTCCCTTCTATGAGGGTGGGGTGCTGCGTGGGACGAGAACCTTACACCCACCAGAGGTGGCCTAACCTAGTAATCCCCGGCAAGGTTCAAACCCAGCAAAATGCCTTCTTGGCCTCCCTGGATTGTATCTGCATCTGCATGATGAAGATAGTAGTAATTATCTCACTGCCTTGTGAGAATTAAACAATCTGTATGAAGTATTTATTGAGCGCCTTGTACAAGCCAGGCACTGTTCTATAAGATGAGAATAGAGCTGAGAACAAACCAGAGAAAAATCCTTGCCCTTGTGGAACTTAACATTCTACTGGGTGAGGGGGAAGAAGCAGAATAAGTTGATACATGTAATAAATGAAACCTGTTTTTAGCAGAAAATTCCTGACAAGTGGCCTTCCTGGGGATGAGGTCCCAGGTAGCCTGTCATCCCAGACTGTGGCAAAGCAGTGGCTACTCCAGCCAGAAAACCTGGGGCAGATGGTGTTTCCCTTAGGTGGGAGTCAGGAGACTCAGTGATCCAGGACCTATCCCACTGATGTCCCAAACTTACTCTGACCCTGGACAAGTCACTTTGTCCTTCATTTTTGAGATGTGTGCTAGGCACTGAGGATAGAAAAGGTTCCTACTAGCCCTCCTCCTTCCCTCTCCAGGCCTCGCTGTGCAGTTGGGGAGTCTGGCAGAAAGTAACTAAAATAACATGAGATAAAAGTACTCTGAAGAAAATGAAAATGAAACAGGGTGCTGGGGTAGAGACTGACTTGGGGGAAGTGTGATCAGGGAGGGCCTCCGAGGAGCCTGTCGTGGGGGTGAGACCTGAAGGACAAGGACCTGGGCAGAGGCTTCCAGGAAGTGGTGCAGCAAGTCCTGAAGGAGGAAGGGGCCTGGCCCATAGTGCTTACTGACTTAGCTGCTGGTATTACAGTGAAACCTATGAGAGTCAGAACACGACGAGACTGCCTTGTTTTTCCAGGTCTCTAGGGCTGCTGTGAGTCGGAATCGACTCGACGGCAACAGGTTTGCTTTTGGTTTCTCTCTCCTTATAGTGGAAAATATGTGAGTTTTCCTTCTCTGACAGGTTTCCGCCTTACACAGCTTCTGGCTTTTGGTTGTATTGCCTGTATTATAGAACATTATCAACCATTCATGATTATTTTGAAGACTTGTAGAGGATTTTAAAAACACTTGATGAGATGAGTGGAAATGCAGAGTATGAAATTTTACCTACACTGTGTTTTCGTCACCGTTTGAACTCTCTGTGCTCGTTTCCTTTGGGGGTGGGAGGATGTGGGAAGGTCTTCCTTTTCAAATCCCCTGGAGTTGTCATGTCACCCAGTTGGTACAGCGAATCACCCTTGTCCCGCAGAACCTCAGAGGTCGGCCAGAAGCGGAAGGCAGAGGGTGATGCAGCACTGCAGGCCAAGAAGACCCGCGTGTCGGACCCCATTAGCAGCTCCGAGAGCTCAGAAGATGAGGAGGAGGCAGAAGCCGAGACCACCAATGCCAAGAAGAGTAAGAGCAGTGTGCTGGGTGCTGTTGGGGGACCTGGGCCTCCCGGTCAAGTCCCTATCATTGGTGCTTGGAGGAGCTCAGCCCAGGACCCTCCACCTTTTGGGGACATACTATGGGATGGGATTGAATTGTTCCGGGAGTGAGTCACCTGCAGCTTCTTCTTCAGTGAGCTCTGAGAGGACCGCGACCTTTTAGGGGAAGATTTGGAGGGCTTCTTGTTGTGTCTGTTTATTCCAGTATTTATTTGTGTGCTGGATGGGCATGGTGTTAGGGCTAGGGAGCCAGTGGTGTGCAGAAACAGATGGGCCCTGACAGTCTAGATTTGGTTACCTCCAGTCACCCCTGCCCACGGGGCCCAGGAGCTGCATTTTCACAAATCCCCATGTGTTTCTGATAAAGGCGGAAAGAATCATATTTTCAGAAGTACTGCTAGTGAAGAGGGCTGGCGGGCACCTCTTCTCTGGGGGCTGCTTTGACAGTCGCTGATCTTCCTGGTTTTCTGGAAGCGTACAAGTTAGCACCAGGCTGAACTGAACACTCGGATATCAGAGTTGGCAGGGGTAACTCGATGAAAGCCTTTACAGCCCCTTCTCCCTGCCCCTGATTCCCAGGGCCCCTTCTGCTTCACCCAAGAATGGTCATAACTCTAGAGCTGGTCTCTTCTCTGCATTGTGTTTTTATTTTTGTTTACACAGAAGATGATTTCTTAATTTTAAAATATATTTTTGGATTATAAACAAGTATAGAATTCATTGGAGTCCCTGGATGCTGCAAACTGAAAGATTGGCAGTTCAGATCCACCCAAAAGCACTTCAGAAGAAAGACCTGGTGATCTACTTCCAAAAAATCAGCCACTGACAACCTTATGGAGCACAGTTCTATTCTGGCACACTTGAGGTCGCCACGAGTCGGAATCGACTCACAGCAACTGGTAATAGAATTCATCATAGAATATTTAAAAAGGACTTTTTTAAAAGGCCAGGAAAAAATTACCCATATTCTTGCCACCTACAATTTGGCAAATTATTCTTCTAGTTTATTTTCCTGAGCATGTTTTCAAAGATATTTGAAATCGTACTGGACATACATTTTATATCTTGCCTAATATTTTTAAAGTATAAATGCAAAACAAGTGTAGGAACTTGGAGGAGTACAGAAGCACATAGAAGAAAAATTGAAGATTTCCTAATCTGCCCCACTCCCCTTTCATTCCCTAAATGCATCTCCTGGTGGGGAGCCTTTGCATCTATAGTAATAACCTATATCCATCTATCCATACATACATTTTAAACAAAAATTGTTAAATTTTATACTGACTGGCTGTTTAACATTAATCAATTTCTTAAACCTGTGATAATGGTATTGTAGTTACACTTTTTTGAACGGAGTCCTTCTCATTGAGAAAAACATACTGGAGGATTTGTGGGCAACATGATATGATGTCTGGCATTTTCTTCACAATAACACATATGGGGAGAGGCGGATGAGAGGGTAGATGAAATAAGATTGGCCATAAGTTGATAGTGGTGGAAGCGGTGTGGTTCAGTGTACTTTCTCTGTACTTATAAATGTGTTTAAATTTTTCCATAATTAAAAAAGAGAGAGAGAGATGGCGTTAAATACCAGGAAAAGAATTGGATCATGCAGTCTATCTCCATAATATCCTTCTTATTTAACAGCATACCTTTGACATCTTCCCCTCCTGAGATCTGAGGGGACAATACCCTTTTATAAAAGCACCGTGAATCTATACATCTCAGCATCTGACTGGGTCCAATTCTCATGGTTCAGCTACCTCTCCACTAAGAACCTGTTGAAATTCTGGGCAGCTCTCTGGACCTCGGACTAACTAACTGATCACTGCTTCTGGCTTTCTGAGTGACTTTCAGGGCTATGGTGTGGTGGCCTGTGTGAAAGGCACCCTCAGAGTTGTGTGGTGCCTTCATGGTAGTACATGGCGGGATCTTGAGCCAGTCCTTTTCTTCTTGGGGTCTCGATGCCTTGTGCCACAGGGGAGTTGGGAGTCCACCACGGATGTGAGCATTCACCCTGCCACTTTCCTGTCGCTCCTGGAAGACGTGGCTAATGCATCATAGAACTCCTTCCCATAAGTCTGGGCTCAGCCTCAGACCCTCGTCCCAGCACCAGGCAGCCAACATCAGTCACACTGTTACCAGTTGCCATCGAGTCATTTCTGACTCATGGCAACTCCATGTGTGTCAGAGCAGAACTGTGCTCCAGTAGATCACCAGGCCTTTCTTTCAAGGCACCTCTGGCGGACTTGAACCTCCAGCCTTTCGATTAGCAGCCAAGCATGTTAACTATTTGTACTACCCAGGGACTTTAATCAAACTGTTAGGTGATATGTAACCTATTGGCTGTTCTTAAGAGAAAAGAAATCTCACCTAGTTCATCCAGCAGGTGTTTGTGTCTTGCAGCCCCAAGATTAGTGTCTACCAACAACTCAGTCATGGGGACGGATTTGCCATCAAGCATGAAAGAACAAGCCAAGGTGAGTGGGACTGCCTTCCAAGCTGTGTCTGTGGGAGTTGAAATGCCTTGTAGGGGAAACCCCTTATGTCAGAGAAGGATAAAGTTGTGGGCAGTCTCCCGACCTGGATTCCAGTCTCAGTCTCTGTGTTACCAGCTGTGTGATCCTGGGTAAATCCCTTTGCCTCTCTGGGCCTGAGTTCCCTTCTACATAAGATGGGGAAGCTGCCTACTGCAATGGGCCACTGGCAAATTTAAAAAAACAAAAAACCAAGCCCCTTACCGTCAAGTCAATTCCAGCTCATAGCAACCCTATGGGACAGAGTAGAACTGCCCCATAGGGCTTCCAAGGCTGTAATCTTTACAGAAACAGACTGCCACATCTTTCTCTCACAGAGTGGCTGGTAGGTTCAAACTGTTGACCTTTCGGTTAGCAGCCAAATACTTAACCACGGTGCCACCAGAACTCCTTAATGTATAAAAGTAGTTAAGAAATAATGATAATACCCTCAACAAACTGCCACTTACCACTTAGCAAGTGTCCCAAGACCTGTAACTCAGTTCTCTCAACAACTCTGAGCCAAGGGACAATTTTTAGTATCACTTTAAAGATGAGGAAATAGACTCTGGGAGGCCGAGCAAATTGCCCCAACTCACATGGCCTGGCAGTGGTAGGTAGCACTGGTTTCAGACCCAGGCAGTCTGCACTCTTTACCCACCATGCCATACCCAGATGTGTATGTCACTATTGTTCTCTGTAGGCAAAGACCAAGAAAGCCAGCAAGATGATGAACTCCTTACCACACCCTGCCTCTGGGAAGACAGTGGCCCACCTCCTCTCTGGGAAATCACCCAAGAAGTTGGCAGTGCCCTTGGCAAATACCACCTTGGTCTCAGAGACTGAGGAGGAGGGCAGTGTCCCGGCTGTCAGAGCCACTGCCAAGCCTGGTGAGAAGCCCCTACCTCTATGAACCAAGTCCCCAGGGTTTGTTCTGGAGGGACAGGTCTAGGCACTGCTTTATTAAGCCCTGGAAAATTATGTAATTCAAAGGTTTATCTCTGACAGCGAGAACCCCATGCCTCAGGCCATTTCCCCATCCCCAGGATGAGGGAGGGACAGCTGCAGGGGCACCTCAGGCTTTGCCAAGGGAGTTTGAGCAGCCTGGGTGGGTGATTGGAGCAATTTTTGGTTTATTACCATCAGGTGGCTTCAGGGCAGGGCTTCGAACCAGCTCCGCCTGCTTTAGTCATGGCCAACGAAGCAAAACCAAATCACCCAATTTTTTAAAATGCAGGTGGAGTGGAATGGGAAAAATTATGGGTCAAAGCCCTGCTAGAAACTTAATCTCTAATCTCCCTCTTAGAAAGCAAGAGCAGTGTGCACGTTGCATAGCAGCTATATCTATTGACTGATTGAGATGGAAACGGTTGCCCTGCTCAGAGATGCCGGCAGACTGCGCCACTTTGAATGTGTGTCACTCTCCCCCGTCTTGGCAATAATACAGTCTCCCAAATCAGGCCCCTGAAAGGGCTCAGTACGCCTCTTCTGAGTCTCCCATTCCAGGGCTTCAGCTCATAATTTTTCCAATTTCACTTCACACAAATTTTAAAATTTTAAGCCTGTTCCGATTTTGCTTCGTTGGCCATGACTGAACCGGTTCGAAGCCCTGGTTCAGGGGCCACTGTGGAGGCTTAGGGTCTGAACAAGAGGCCTGGTGTTTGCCCTGCCCGCTTCAGTGGACCACAGTAGGGGGTGGAGATTTTATAAACCGTCAGATCCTGGTGCACATGTGTTGGGACCTATCATATGAGAGCCCACACCAGGGCTTCGGAGGTGTGGAGGAGATCAGGGATCATGGTGGTACCCACCTTGGATGTGGGACTTGGAGAAAGGATGAATCTGCAGCTCTGTACATGTGAGAAGTGAGCACTCAGCATCTGCCTTTGATTAGCAGTTGGCATGAGGGGGTGCTGGGGAGGGCCAGGTGAATGTGGAAAGGATGACCCACAGCTCTCTCCCTGTTCATGCCGCAGGGGTGGTGGACCAAGCCAACAGCTCCAGCGAGGACACCTCCAGCTCAAGTGACGAGACAGATGTGGAGGTAATTGCTACCCATCCTCAGGAGTTGCCCTTTTCAAACCTCTGATCCTCCCAGGACTGTGGCTGGGACTTCGAAGACCTGTGGGACCTGATTAATTCAGCAACTGTGTGGGGGGACTGGGAGCTGGAGTGGCTGAGGCTTGGGGAGGGGAGGGATGGGAGCAGGTGTTGCTTGTTGCCCTCTGAGTGGGAGAAAGTCTAGGGCTGTGGGAGAGAGATGCTGTCCTGCCTGAGAGACTAGGGAAGACTTCCTGGGAGGGGGCACTGGAGTAGGCCTTGGGAGCACAGTGGGATTCACCAGGAAGAGGTGGAGGGAACGGTGTTCCATCTGGGAAGAACTGCACAAGGAAAGGCCCCAAGGGCAGAGTGCTGTCATGTACAGTCAGGGGTAAGCTGGGTGAGGCTGCTGAGATGGATCTGGGCCCACTGGTGAATGCCAGGCCTAGGTACGTGGCCAGAGTTGGGCAGGACTCTTGGTGTGTGGCCTTGTTTCACTGCTGACCTGTGACCTGGGAGAGGTACTCACAGGTCATTCCTTATTTTGCACCTCCCAAGTGCCAGTTCTCAGGAATACAGTGTGAGCAAAATGAGTGGGTTACTGCTACCACAGGGAAGTGAGGGGGTCCCTCGGCCTTTTATCTGTAATGGTGATGGATGCTTTGGAGAGCAAATAGACAGCAACATGAGCCTGACATAGATGGATAGGTGTCAACAGGGGGAGAGATTGAGGGCTGGAAAGAGCATTGAGCGTTCCAGGCAGAAGGGATGACGTGCAGAGGGAGAGGCAAAGAGAGTTTGGTCCTTTCAAGGAGCGTATCTCCCTTGTTAACTAGGGGGGGAAATGCTACAGGATGAGGCCCAGAGATAGGCAAGGGCCAGATCTGATGCCTGACCATGGGGACCACCGTAAGTAGCTTGGGTTTTATTCCAGGAGCTGTGAGAAGCTGTTGAAGGATTTCAGGCACAGGGCCTAATTTATGTTTCAGAAAGATCTCTGGTTGCGGCCTGGATTGGAGAACCAAACCAAACCCACTGCTGTCTAGTTGGTTCTGACTCATAGCAACCCTATAGGACAGAGTAGAACTGCCCCATAGGGTTTCCAAGGCTGTAAATCTTTACAGGAGCAGACTGCCACATCTTTCTCCCACAGACCAGCTGGTGGATTTGAACCGCCGATCTTTCGGTTAGCAGCTGAGCGCTTAACCACTAAACCACCAGGGCTCCTTGATTGGAGGACAGTGCAGACTAAAAGCAGTGAGACCGTTTAGGGGTCTGTTGGAACACTACAGGCAAGAGGTCCTGGTGGCCAGGACTAGGGTGCCCCAGTTGCAAAAATGTTTTAGAGGGAGAACAGCAGGATTCCAGGATGGACTGATCTGGTGCCCAGGGTACTTCCCATCTCACCCAGTGACCCTGTGAAGATGGAGCCCTCACCCCGTCTGCTCCAGGCCTGGCTGTGGGCTGCTCCCCACATTCCATCCTCACCTTTAGACCCTAGATGCAGCCCGCCATAAGGACGCCTCTGGCTCCTATCACTCCAGGCCCTGCCAAGGGGAAGGAGGCCACTCCTGCCCCTGAGAAACCAGTAGCCAAACACACAGCCTCAGTGGGCCAGAGGCCAGTGCAAGGCTCCGACAGCTTTGCGGAAGATCGTGAGATTGAGGAAACCCAGGGTCAGGTGAGGGTAACTGAAGACGAGGTGGAGATAGGGACCGACTGCCTCGGAAATGCCAGGATTGTAGAAGTTACAAAAGAGCTAAAAGGGGCATATGAGTTTATCTAGAAACTGAGGCTGAGAAGAAAGGCATTTACCCAAGGCAGCTCAGCAAGCCAGTGGCAGGACTGGACTGCTGGCCCTCAGGCCTGTGCCCCACAGCTGCTTGACACCAACCATGACCAGCTGCTTTAATGTTTAAGGGGCAGACAAAGATAAGCTGTCCTGGTTGAAGAAGGCTGCCCCTCTGCACTGGACCCTATGTGTGCCGTGTGGGAGAGGAGCTAGTGGTTGAGAATTCTGCTCCCAACACCAGACAGACATGGGTCCAAACCATGGCTCTGCCCCTTAGTTTCGATCTTGAGTGATTTAACCTCTCTGAGCTTCTTGCCCTTTTCTGGCAAATGGGTATAAAGATCATATTTGTCTCAGAGAGTTGTTTGAAAATTAAATGATGTGGGGACGGGGCTTTGTAAACTGTGAAGCACCTTATACACTAAGAGGTAAAAGTTATTATTCACTGTCTACTCCCATCCTCTTGTTCTAGGCAAAACCCTTGGCAAAAACCCGTCCTGCCAGAGCCCCGCCAGTCCTTTCCAAGGAGTCTCCAGGGAGAAGGGCAGCCCCAGCCCCTGGGAAGGTGGGAGATGTGACAGCCCAAGTTAGAGGAGGCCCCTTAGCCCCAGCCAGCAGGGCTAAGAAGCCTGAAGAGGAGTCAGAGAGCAGTGAGGAGGAGTCTGAGAGTGAGGAGGAGGCCCCTGTGGAGACCCCCAGCCAGGTAGGTCCTGAGGAAGGCTGCCCGTCAGGGGCCCCTGTGGTCCCCCAGCAACCTGGGAGTGCTCCCACCAGAGAAGACTCAGCCTGGAGTTTTAAAAGGAGGAGGGGAGAGAGATGAAGCTGAGAAGCAGGGGCACCTGGGCTAGCTTGTTCAGCCTCCTGTGGAAATTGCCTGTCTTGCCCAAGCAGCACCCTGGAATGGCTGCTTCCCAGAGGATGCATCCTGCGTCCAACTCTGTCAGTACTTCTCCCATTTGCCTCCGCTTTCCTGTCTAAAATGGACTGGTGACCTCATCCCAGCTAGTCCTGTCTTGAAGGGTCTTTAGAAGTTGTTTTAATTTCTGGTCCTCTGGCCTTCGGGCCAAAGCAGACCTAGAGCAGGCAGGGAATCCAATTACCTTATGTCTGCTGGGACCTACCCACATGCCTCCAGGGCTGCAGCCCCCAAGGCAAGGCCAGAGGGGCTGGAAAGCCATTGGAACCAGAGAACAGGGAGGAGGAAGAATGGGACTGCAGTGGGTAAAAGGCAGCCCTGTGTTGACCACGGTGAGGCCTGACAGGGAAGGAGTGCCGACCCATATCCAGGCCTGGGGCAGGACAAAATGCAGAGTGGTCAGAGGCCTTACTGAGAAGGAGGCATTTGAGTAAAGACCTGAAGAAGAGGGAGGGAACATGTGGACATGTGGAGGAAGGTCATTGCAGGCAGAGACAACAGCAAGTGCAAAGGCCTTGGGGTGGGAGCGACAAATCAGAGCGTGCAGGCCCTATCCACAGAGGGCAGCTGCTTCTCGGCTCAGGTCAGTTTTGCTGTGCCCAAGGGCTGCCCAGTGTTGTGAAGTCTTTATTTTTCGGGAGCCAGTATGTAAACTTTTATATAAAATTTACTTTCTCCATGTTAGCTCAAAAAAACTGAGGTGCAAGCTAAATACAGTATGTTTGGAATAGTCTGCATCCTCTGCACAGGAGGTTTCTAAGAGGGGAAGTGATCAGAGCTGCTGATACTCTGTGGTAATCAGCCCAGGGCTGAGTAGCCATGACCCTTCTAGGGAAGACAGGGTCTGCAGCTGCCCTGCCAAAGCCCCAAGGTCAGGAGCAGAGCCTGAGAGCAGCAAGGAGTCAGTGAGTGGATTAGTGAGGAGGCCCGGGCCATGGGGTTGAAGACCAGCTTCCAGGGTCCTCCTGCCCTCTGTGCAGAAAGCCCAGCGAGGGCCTCACTCTGCACCTGCTTTTCAGACTGCCCCTCCCTTTGTCACATCCAGAGTTCCTCCCTCTGAGCCTTTGCACCCTTCCTTTCTCCTCTAAGCTCAGTCAGCTATGCCCTGGGGGCCGGCGCTGAGGCTCCAGTAGTGGGTTGGCCAGTTGCAGTGCCCATGCTCACAGAGCTCCCAGCTGGTGGGGAGATGGGCTGTAACAACCGTGTGCTGGGTGGCTGAGGGGACCAGCCAGGGAGGACTGCATGAAGAAGTGGTGTCTGTACTGAAACCCGGGAGATGAGGAGGCAGCAGCCAGGTGAAACTGGGGTGGGGATGAGGGTGTGAAGGCCCTAGAAGTGAGGGAGTGTGAAGCTATTTGATTCTGAGGAACCAGGCCAGTTGGCTGGAGCACTGGTCAGGATGGGGGGTAGGAGTGAGATGAGGCCAGAGAGGGAGGCGGGGGGGTCTTGGGAAGGCATCACCAGAGGGTTTTCAGAAGGGGGAGAACAAACTGCCCTTTCTCTTTACTAGGTGAAGGCCTCAGGGAAAATTTTACAGGTCGGAGCTGCCTCAGCCCCTGCCAAGGGCCCCCCTGGGAAAGGGGCTGCCACAGCACCCCCTGTAAAGGCTGGAGCCACCCAGGCCAAGGCAGGGAAGCCAGAGCAGCCCTCAGAGAGCAGCAGTGAGGAGGAGTCGGACAGTGAGGAGGAGACACCTGCAACCATGGCCCCACTGCAGGTGAGGAGACCCCCTGCAGCCAGGGCCCCTCCCCAGAAGGCCTTCTGAGGACTTGTTGTTCCACTCTGTGCAGGCCCCAGCCCCTTACCCCCGTCTCTGTGTGGCTCCTTCTCTGGTCTCTTCTGTGGCTGTGCTCATCCACCCTTTGGTGATTCTGTCCCTCTCCAGGTGAAGCCCCCTGGGAAAGCCCCCCAGGTCAGAGCTGCCTCAGCCCCTGCCAAGGGGTCCCCTGTTAAAGGGGCTGCCCCTGCACCCCCTGGGAAGACAGGGCCTGTAGCCACTCAGACAGGAAAGCCGGAGGAGGACTCGGAGAGCAGCAGCGAAGAGGAGTCGGATAGTGGGGAGCAGACACCTGCAGCCAAGAACCTAACTGTGAGCGTGGCTCAGGTGAGGCTGGAGAACACCCTACGTGGCCCTGTGCCCTGCCTAGAAAGGCCTCCTGTGGGCTTGTCATTCCCTGTCATACCTCGAGCCCTGTGAGGCTGCATTTGCCCTCCTCACCACCTGCGTCTTCGCACACATTCCCTCTGGGGACCTCCTCGCCTGATGCTGTCCTTTGTTAATCCCAGGCAAAACCCTCTGGGAAAATGCCCCAGGTCAGACCCACCTCAGTCCTGGGCACGGGGCCTTCAGGGAAAGGGGCCGTCCTCACACCCCCTGGGAAGGCAGCACCCGTAGCACCCCAGGCCGAGGTGGGGAAGACAGAGGAGGACTCAGAGAGCAGCAGCGAGGAGGAGTCGGACAGTGAAGGGGAGGCACCGGCAGCTGTGACCCCGGTCCAGGTGAGGCCCGCCCTGGAAGGCTGCCTGCAGGCTCGCCTGTCTCCAGTGCCGGGAGGCCTGCGCTCTGCCCTGGCCCTCTCTTCACACTGCAGTTCTCGTTGCCTTAGTCTCATGTTTCTCTGCATGTCCCCACTCTGGGCTCCCTCCCCTGATCCTGAGTCTCCTACTCCAGGCAAAGCTCTCGGGGAAAACTGTCCAGGTCAAGCCTGCCTCGGGTCCCACCAAAGGGCCCTTGGGAAAAGGGGCTACCTCAGCACCTCCTCAGAAGGCAGGGCCTGTAGTTACCCAGGTCAAGGCTGAGAGACCCAAGGAAGACTCAGAGAGCAGTGAGGAGTCTGAGAGTGAGGAGGAGGCACCAGCAGCCATGACTTCAGCTCAGGTGAGGCCTCGGCTGGACGCTGAACTGCCCCCGCCCTGTCAACTCGGCAGGGCACTATGCTGCTCTTCAGTCAGACCTTGGGTTCTGGGCTTATGGGGAGGGACAGGAGTGGGGCTCCCTGCTAGAATAGGTAGGGACTCTGAATCCAGGATCCTTCTCCAGCCTCTGTCTTCTGTGTCCCCTCAGACAAAACCAGCCATAAAAATTCCCCAGACCAAGGCCTCTCCAAGGAAAAGCACCCCCATCACCCCCACCTCTGCCAAGCTCCCCCCAGTGCAAGTGGGCACCCCAGCCCCCTGGAAAGCAGGCACAGTAACTTCTCCAGCCTGCACAGCATCCCCAGCTATGGCCAGGGGTGCCCAGAGGTCAGAGAAGGAGTCTTCAAGCAGCGAGGGGTCAGAGAGTGAGGAGGAGGAGACAGTTCCTGCGGCAACAGTGGAACAGGTGAGGCTTTCTGTTTGCTTGGCTGCCCTCACGGCTGGTCCCCCGTGGCCCTTTGTGCTCCTGTGAGACACCTCTCTTCCTCTTGTCATTCCAGGCAAAGTCTGTGGGGAAAAGCCTCCATGGAAAAGCTGCCTCGGCCCCTGCCAAGGCACCCTCAGTGCCTGGGACCACCCCAGTACTCCCTGGGAAGGCTGGGCTTGCAGCCGCCCAGGTCAAAACTGAGATGTATGAAGACTCGGACAGCAGTGAGGAGGAATCAGACAGTGAGGAGACACCTGTGGCCGTGAGTCCAGCACAGGTGAAGCCTAGCAGGAGACTCCCATCCCTCCCACGTCTGTGCCCGGGCAGGGCTGAGGATGGGCTTGTCTGAGTCTGCTTTTGCCTCTGGGAGTACAGAAGCTAAAGCTCAGGGGCAGCCTCAACTCAGCCTCATTCCCCGCTTCTCACTCTCACTCTCTGCCCGTTAGAGCTCCAGGATCTCCTTTGTGGCCTTTTAAGCTCCACTGAGGTTCCCTATGCCTTCCACAAGCTATATTGTACTCTCCGGGTCTGGGGCTCCCGTGGCCCGGCCCGCAGAGCTCCCAGCCTAAATCAGGGGGACATGGACACGTACACAGGCTATTCCAGCATGGTATGAGAAGGGTGAGGAAAGAGAGTGTGTACCTGGGCTAGCAGAGCATGGCAGGTGATATCATCTAGAGGGTTTTCAGGAGGGAAGGCCTCTTGGACGAAATGGCATCTAAACTGGGCTGGAAGAGCTGGCCGGGTGGAGTGGAAGTGTAGAATGTTCCAGGCACAGAAACCAGCCTATGCAAAGGTCAGGGGCTGGGAAGGTGCCTGGCTCAGGTGAGTTGCCACAAGCAGCACATTATGGTAGGATCACTGGGGGAAATGGTGAAGTAGCAAGGAACGGCAAGAGGTTTAGAGCCAGACCACCTGGGTTCAAGTCCCAGCTCCATGTCCTAGCTGGTCTCAGGTAAGTGATACAATCCATTGTTGCCTCGTTTGCTCTTCTATAAAATGGAAATCGATCCTCACAGTGTTGGGAGAGAATTTAAGGAGCTCTGCCCTCTTCCAGCAAGCTCTGTCACCGTGAGGTGAGCCAGGCCAGTGTGGAACAGAATCGAGAGTCAGATCTCCCAGCCTGGAAGAGATGGGAGAGGTGGGGATAGCTCCCTCTCTGCACTCACCCACCCACAGTTTATTTTTTGTCACTTTTTTTTTTTTTTTTTTTTTTTTTCAGTAACCGCTCAGAAATTAGTCATTTTTCTTCTGTACCAGAGCACATATTTCTAGCGGAATTTTTTGTCCCCCTCACTGTTGGCTCGTGTGCTCCACGGTCCTAGTATTGCTCTACTAAAGTTTTAAACTATGCCTGCGCCCCTTCCTGAGACGCTACAGGCTCCTCTTCCCTTTCTTTAAGCCATAGACATGTTCCAGACCCCAAGGCTTATTTTCATTTTACAGAGCATTTAAATATTTGTCTTTCCCTCTGAGTCTCCCACCTGTACTATGAGGAGGATGATTCATTTGCTTTGGTGTCTGGGGGAGGAAATTAGAGCCCAGAGGGTTGTTTGGCAACTTGCTCCAACTCAGCCAGCCAGTGAGGGTCAAAGTTGGGCCTGTGCCCCCAGGTGCCTGCCTTTGCCTTTCCCACTTCCTTCTGCCGTATCTTGGCCAAAACTTCCTCTAGCCAGGGAGATGATTATGCGTTTGGGCCTTACTTTCTCTCAGGGTGAAAAGTAGAGCTGCTGATCCCTCTCTAGGGGCCTAGCTTTTTAGCCAGATGCCCCCTCAGAAGAGGTGCCTTTCCTAGCTTCAAGAGGCTGGAAGAGCCTCTACTAAAACAGGCTGGACTGATAGGAGGAGTCTTGTTGACCACCTTCTTTTCTTTGCCTTCATCTGTAAAATAAGGATAGTAACTATGCTTCTGTTGTGGGGTTATTATGTGGATTAAATGAGATAATACTTTCATGGCCTCATCCTCAGTGTGGTTGTAACCACTAACTGGGTCCCACACTGTGCTCAGCATTGCCAGGGTCAGAAGCAAGTCAGATGGGGCCAGTGATCTACTCAGGGATACCCAGCCAGCTCAAAGTAAACCATCATTTAGGAATTGAGGTTCAAAGCAAGCGAATTTTTAAAAAGTAGCAAAGACTAAGGATTAGTGTGCCAGAGAGTCAGGAGAGAGATTATTCAGGATATAAATACCATAGGAAGATAGCCCTAGTGTGAGAAGGGCATGAGAGATGCTTAGTTAGTGTTTGGTGAATGACTGAATGAACGTTGGAGTGCCGTCTGGGCCTGACTTTGTGTTGTGTGTTGATCGTACATCCTGTGACTTAAACTTCCTCATTAGTCCTAGTGGCTTTGTAGATTCCTTAGAAATTTCTGCATATAGATCATGTTGTCTGTGATAAAAAGACAGTTTGACCTTTTCCTTTCCCCTTTGGGTCTCTCTTACTTTTTATTTTTCTTTTGCCTTACTGTCCTGGCTAGAACCTCTGGTACAGTGTTGAATGGTATTGGTGACAGTGACATCCTTGCCTTGTTTCTGATCTTAAGTGGGAAGCATTCAGTCTTTCACCATTAAGTGTGATGTTAGCTGTAACTTTTCATAGATGCCTTTATCAGGTGGAGGAAGTTCCCTTCTGTTCCTAGTTTGTTGAGCGTTCTTATCATATGAATGGGGGTTGGATTTTGTCAAATGCTTTTTCTGTGTCTATCAAGATGATCATATGATTTTTGTCCTTTATTAATATAATGATGATTAATATGATGACATTGATTTTTCAGGTATTAAGTCAACCTTTTATTCTTGGAATAAACCGCCGTGGTCATGGTGTATACCCTTTTTATTTGTTGCTGGATTTGATTTCCTCATTTGTTTAAAAAAAATTTGTGTTTGTAAGGAATATTGGTATGTAGTTTTCTTTTGATGTCTTTGTCTGGCTTTGATATCTGGGTGATAACTGGCCTCATAAAATGACTTGGGAAGTATTCCCTATTCCTCTGGTTTCTGAAAGAGTTTGTGTAGGGTTGGTATTATTTCTTTCTTAAATGTTTGATAAAATTCACCAGTGAAGCCATATAAGCCTGGCCTTTTTTTGTGTGGGGGAAGATTTTTAATTACTTGATAAAATTCTTTAATTGATATTGGTCTATTCAGATTTTTATTTCTTCTTGAGTCAGTTTTGTAATATGTGTCTTTTTAGGAATATGTTTCATCTAAGTTGTCTAATTTGTTGGCATAAAGGTGTTCATAATATTCTCTTATAATCAATCCTTTTAACTTCCATAAGGTCTGTAGTGATGTCCCTCGTTCTTGCCTGTCTTTTGGTAATTTGTGTCTTCTTTTTCTTGGTCAGTCTAGTTAAAGATTTATCAATTTTGTTCTTGTCAAAGAACCGGCTTTTGATTTCATTGATTTTCTCTGTTGTTTTCCTGTTTTCTATTTCATTGGTTTCCACTCTGACCTTTGTTATTTCTTCCTTATTTTGAGTTTGGTTTGTTCTTTTTCTAGCTTCTTGAGGTTGAATCTTTGACTGTTGGTTTTAGCTTTTTCTAAGGTAAATATTTAAAGCTGTAACTTTCCCTCTAAGGACTGCGTTAACTTCATCCCATGAATTTTGAAATGTTGTATTTTCATTTTCATTCTTTGACTCATTGATTATTTAGAAGGGGTTAATTTTCATGTATTTGGTGGCATTCCCAGATTTCTGCATGTTTTTGATAAACAATGACTCATGGCGACCCCATGTGTCTCAGAGTAGAGCTACATTCCATTATGATGGGTTTTCGATGGCTGATTTTTTCAGAAGTAGATCAACAGTCCTTTCTTCCATGGCGCCCCTGGGTGGATTTGAATTGCCAACCATTCGGTTAGGAGCTGAGCTCTTAATCGTTTGCACCACCCAGGGACTCCTCAATAACACTGTAGGCGAGCCTTATATTCCCATTTTACAGAGGAGGAAACAGGCCAGTGAGGTCAAGTGACTTGCTTAGGCTCGCATCACTATTAAATGGAGGATCCAGAATGCAAAGTCAGGCATTCTGACTCCAGAATCAGTGTTCTTAACTAACTGCTCTCCTGGCACTCACCTTCTTCCTTCTGTAATCCCCTTTTCTCCTTCCAGGTGAAGGCCTCAGTGAAAGCTCCTCAGACCAAAGCCAAACCAGCTGCTCCCAGAGTGTCTTCAGTCAAAGGGTCAGCAGCATCAACTTCTGGAAAAGTGATCACTGCAGGTGTTCAAGCCAAATTGGCATCCCCGGCCAAGGCAAGTGGGGCCAAAGCCACAAGAGAGTTGGGGCAGAGAGGAAGACAACCGAGCAGTGCCCCCAGCCCAGATAAGGGTCCTACACAGGTGGGAGGGACCTCCCCCTAATTGTGCCATGGGTGGGAGCTTAACCTCAAAGGAACCATGCTGTTCACTTCTTCTCTGACACTGTTACCTCCTTGCAATTCAGCTAAAGCCGCCAGTGAGAACCCCCCAAAGTAGTGTCATCTCGCTGCAGGGCCAGGTGTCTGTGCCAGCTGTGGGGAAGGCAGTGGCTGTAGCAGCCCAGGCCAAGACGGGGGCAGTCAGGAGGCCCCAGGAGGAGGACTCAGAGAGCAGTGAGGAGGAGTCAGACAGTGAGGAGGAGGCGCCAGCTCAGGTGAGGCCCAGGGGAAGGGTGGAGGGCAGCCTTGGGCTTCCCTACTGGCAGACTGCTTCCACTTTGGTGCCAGGAGCCCCAGTTGTGCCTCAGGCTGCAGCTCCTGCCCACAGTTCACTGCCTTTGCCCCATCGTTCTCCTGTGTCTCCGCATACACCCACCCTCTGAATTCCTTCCCCTGATTCTGTCCCTCTCGCTCTAGGTGAAGCCCTCAGGGAAGGCTTCCCAGGTCAAAGCTGCCTCAGCCTCCACCAAGGGGTCCCCAGGGAAAGGGGCTCCCCCGGCTCCCCCTGGAAAGACAGGGCCTGCAGCCATCCAGGCAGGGAAGCCGGAGGAGGACTTAGAGAGCAGCAGCGAGGAGGAGTCAGACAGCGAGGAGGAGACGTCAGCAGCTGTGATGCCTGCCCAGGTGAGGCCTAATGAGGAAGCAGCTACACATGCCAGGTCTCCCAGCCACCTGCACCTGCTCTTCCTTGGTCAGAACTTGCAATCAGGGCCAGGTAGGAAAGGAAGACCACCGATTAAGGCTTTGACTGCAGGATCTCTTCCCCCAGCTGCTGTCCTCCATGTATCCTTAGGTAAAAACTGTTGTGAAAACCCCCCAAACCAAAGCCTCCCTAATGAAAGGTGTCATGGGCACTCCCATGTCTACCAAGGCCTCCACAGCACGAGCAGACACACAAGCCCTCTGGAAAGCTAAGCCAGCAACTCCCACCAAGGCAAACCAGACCAAGAATCCAAAGATGTCACAGTTAGAGAGTGACAGGCAGGCTCAGTCTGTGGTACAGTACCTGAGGCCCTGGGAAAGTGGAGGAGGTCACATCCCTCACCTGGGCAGGTACATCTCCCTAGGGAGAACTCGTCTGGCTAATTGTGAAGATGACTCTAGGGAATGGGAAGAGAAGGAATGAGAAGCCGTCTTTGATCAGGACCATTTTCCCTCTGTTTGCAGAGGGCAGCATGGTGGCTATGTCCTGCAGAAGTCCAGGGTGACAGACTCCAGTACGTGTAGGGCTCAAGCATGTAATGGAAAAAGTTGACATAAGCCAGGTGGAGGTGATAGATGGCAGTTGACATTCAGCCTTGGTGTCAGAAGAGACAGTAGGGAGTAGTGGCAACTAGGGCAAACTGAAGAGCCCTTGCCCCGTCTAGAAGGACAGCCCCGTCAGCTGCAGGTGATCATGACCTTGTGGAAATGCACCTCGATGTGGCCAGGTCTTCAGTTTCTTAAGAGGAGCTGGAAATCCACATGCAATCCTCTCTTAGGTTTCTGTTTTAAATTGGTTACTGTATCAGGATGTCCTAGGCTGCGGGAGAAAGCCCAATTCAGAAGAGCTAGAATAATAAGGGGATTGACTATCTCACCCAGAGTAGGGTGGCTGTTGTTGTTATGTGTTGTCGAGTCGGTTCCAACTCATAGCGACCCCGTAAAGGGCTGTAAAGGTGGTTAGTTCAGCAGTTCAGTATCACTGGTTACCTGGATTTCTTCCCCCTTTATGTTCTACCAGCCTCATTGTCACAGGAGGGCTGCAGTAGCTCCTAGAGAGCTAGGAAATCCCCCAGCCGACTTCCACTTAGGTCTTCTTGGCCAGACTTAGGGCATATGCTCCCCCTGCAGAGCCAGTCAGTGAGGAGGGGCTTGGCATTCCCGTGATTGGCTGGAAGAAGGGTGTCATCTTCCCCAAAGCATATAAACCAAACCAAAAAACCAGTAGCTGTCAAATTGACACCAACTCATGGCGACCCCATATGTGTCAAAGTAGAACTGTGCTCCATAGGGTTTTCAGTGGCTGATTTTTCGGAAGTAGATCGCCAGGCCTTTCCTTTGAGGTGCCTCTGGGTGGATTCAGACCTTCAACCTCTCAGTTAGCAGCCGAGCATGTTAACAGTTTGAACCACGCAGGGACTCCTCTCACCAAGCCAGCCCTCTCATTTATGCTTGGCCTGGCAGGAGAGGATGGCAGCCATTGGGGTGCTGTTAGCCAGGAGTGTCACAACCAGGTGTGAGCTGTGCTTGGGCCACTGGCTCACTCCTGCACCCTTGTCCCAGGCTGTTGTCACCTCTCCTTCAGACCCCTGGCCAGTGGTGCTCCAGCCCTCAAGTTCTAGTTGCATCTGAGTCATACGTCCCTTCCAAGTTCAGAGTCAGCTCTGGAGAGAGCATAGTGGGGGTGGAGTCCTGTGTTTCCAGGGGCTCTGGGGTATGCCAGGCCAGCAGCTGCCCTCTGGGTGCAGGAAGGGAGAGTCAGAGCCTGTGAGGGTCAATACTCACTGGCTGCATTTCCCTGCCCTGGCCCCTAGGAGTGAGCCCCAGGCTTCCTGGTCCCTCAGCTAACGTCCTCCACACCCCCATGTGCTTGTTCAGATCTTGTCGCCTCGGAAGGAGGATAACTGCAAACCTGCCAGAAGCAAGACCCTGGCCCCAGCATCCCCAGAGAAGAAGGCAGAGGGATCCTCGGAGAGCAGCGAGGAGGAGCTGCCATCAGGCCAGGTAAGCCATGCCAGGGTCAGCGGGCCTCTCAGGGGTGAGGGCAAACAACCCACCATGGAGAACATCGCCTCGCTCCTTACATTTAAACAGCACTTCACAGTTTCCAGAGCTCGTTCCTGTATTTAAGCCGTTCCTCTTTACAGTAACCCTGTGAGGTAGGGAGCAGAGCGTAGTTGAACACATAGGCTTCAGAGCCAGACAGCATAGGGTCAAATCCTGGCTCTAACACTCCAGTTCCATGTCCCTGGTCAGACACTGTGACTATTCTGAGGCTCAGCTGTTTCAGCTGTAAAACAGGGAATAATGGTGCCTCTCTCTTGCTGTGCACAGTCCCCTACCCAATACGTGGGGCCTGTTCTTAACAGGAGAGCAGGTAGTATTGTCCCAGTCGACAAGAATCAAGGCCCTAATAGTTGGCGTGGTTTTCCCAAATTCTCATAACGCGTAAGAGGCTGCGAAAGGGCCCATACACTGGTCCCTGGCTCCTTGTGTGTCCCTGTTTAGGACTGGGTGCCTTCTCTGCAGGGTGCATCAGGACTCTGTGGGCCTCACCTGAGACCTTTGCTCAAGATCCTGTGACACACCTTCCCTTTGCCCTGCTGCATCAGGAGCTTAAAGCTCCAGAGGCCCAAGTCAGCCAGGCTAGTATGGCCCTGGCTTCTGTGTGAACCTCAGGCCATCCCGGCGGCGGCACTGCCCTTTGTCCTCCTCAGTCTCAGGCCCCTGGAATCTTCTGCCAGGTTCCTTAGAGTGCTGTTCCCCTCCCAGGGCCTAACCAAAGATGCTGGTATCCTGCCGCCCACCCAGGCTGGTGGGGGCCTTTAACTGTCTCCTCTTACATATCCCATGTTATGTCCTTATTCTTCATTTCTCGGGGGCGGACAACTGCTGCTTGTAGCTTTCCAGTGATGGGGCGTTCATTGCCTTTCTCTTCTCAATAGAGTGTTGTTGTTGTGTGCCGTTGAGTCGATTCTAACTCATAGCAACCCTACATGACAGAGTAGAACTGCCCATAAGGTTTCCTAGGCTATCATCTCTATGGGAGAAGATTGCCAGGTCTTTTCTCCTGTGAAGCTGCTGGTGGGTTCTAACCACTGACCTTTCAGTTAGCAGCCGAGTGCTTTACTATTGCACCACCAGTGCTCCTTCTCAATAGCACCGATTACAAAAATAATAATGAACAACTATAGCTAATGCTGTCGGTCACTTACTGTGTGCCAGTCACTGTGCTAAGCCCTGTACTTGCACCGTTCTGTTTAATCCTCACAACGACCCTATGAGGATAGGTCTTTTTGTTATTCTCATCCCAAGGAGGAGGGAGTGAGGCTCAGAGAAGCTGAGTGGACTGTCCCAGCATCACACAGCCAGCAGGTGGGCAGACCTGGTGTGTGAACCCAGGCAGACCACTCTGACCCGCCACCCAGCAGTCCCCCGACATCGGGGACTTTGTGTCCTGGGCAAGAAAGAACACAAGCAGGGGCTTGGGCCTCGCCCTCTTTGTGGCGCCCTCTCTGAGTGGGATCTAAACAGCTGGGAGGGAGGGGGCTGCTTCGTCTTTCTCTGCGGGGGCGGACTAACACAATTAAAATGAACATCATGCTTAAACTGAGCCGTTTAATTGGTACGTTAGTCCTGAAGATTCTGGAGTCCCTATTAAAAATGAAGAAGAAAATTGGCAGTGTGCGCATTCCCCCAGGAAGATTCAGGGAAGATGGACTCAGCCTGGGGCCGCTGCAGCCTCCGCCTAGCTGGGGGATTTTTAGCTCCTTAATCCCCAGCTCGCTAATTATGATTATTACGGTTATTATGCATTTATTTAGCACTTGTCTGTTGACAAGTTTCATTCCCTGTTTTTATTATTAGCCCATCGATGCCAGGGTGGTGGGCAGAGTCCCAGGCTGAGAGACAGGGAAGGGGATTGTGGCTCCGTTCCCAGGCCCCCTCACTGCGCCTCAGTCTCCTCACCTGCAGGATGGGGCCCACTGTCCTACACTGAGAGACACTTAGGAGGTTCGTCTGTGGCTCAGCCCTGTTAGTGCGGAGCATAAACCTCAGGCCATTCAGCAGGGGGGAATACCAGCTGGTAATACCAGCCCGGCCTCACTCACTGGAGGGCTTCTGGTGCACTCTGGAAACTGCAAAGCACAGTACACACAAGGGTGCCAAAGGAAGACTTCCTTCTGGGGGGAGGTCAGAGAAAACCAGCCTGAGGCTGAAACAGTGAAACCGTCCATCGCCTGGACAACACTGGGCAGTGCAGCCTCAGAATCCAGGGACCGCGCCCTGTCTCCAGGGCCCAGTGCTTCCGAACCAACCCCGGGGGCAATGCGCCAACCACCCACTGGGCCAGCTGAGCTCAGCACAACCTTGCTTCATTCCAGCCAGTGTGGGCAGAGTAGGGGTGAGGGGGCTGCTGACCACAGGCCAGGGACACAGACAAAGACACCCAAGGTGATAGAGCCCCAAAGGGCAGTACTTCTCCAAGAGACTCCCTCACAACTGCCTGGGGGCTGGTTAACATATCCTGGGTCAGCCCCACCCCAGAGGGCTGAGACTGTATCCCCCAGTATCCTTGTACACCAGGGTTTGAGAAGGCTACCATGAGTACCCTTCTCCAGCACCCACCATAGGACAAGTGGCCTCACCAGGGTTCCCAGCAGACTGGTGTCAGAGCCAGGACTAGAAGTGAGCTCTCCAGGCCCGAGGCACAAGCTTCTTCCAGGATCAAACATGCTAGGCCCCAATTTCACACCCCAATTTAGTTTCTTACAGGTCCCCTCCTTCTCTCAGACTCGACCCGAAGCTCTGACAGCAGGGCCTGTGTTTCAGCCTCAGGCTGGTTTTCTCTGACTTCCCCCCCGAAGGAAGTCTTCCTTTGGCACCCTTGTGTGTACTGTGCTTTGCAGTTTCCAGAGTGCACCAGAACCCCTCCAGTGAGTGAGACCGGGCTGGTATTACCAGTGCTCCATTCAGCAGGGGGGAAACTGAGGCTTAAGCTCAGGGGTGTGAGCACACAGTGAAGTTGTGGCAGAGGTGGGATCAGAATGGATCTCCCCATTCCTTGGGCAGCACAGCCTACCTTCTTAGCTCTGCAGACTCTCATTGCACTCCTGCCCCCAACAGTATTCCTTGGTGGTCCCCTCTGCAGCAGGCCCCATGCACCACCCCCCTCTCACAGCCCAGAGGCCAGGGTGGAATGGCGTGGGCAGGTGGAGCTAGGAGGAGGAGGCATTTGCTGCTGAGCTGCTTTTAACATCCCGAGACGCTATTGTTTGCCTCGGTGGGTTCGTTGCCTCTTTGGTCCCCGACAATCTGTTCCTCTGTCTTCTCACATATATATAGATCCCCCCTCCCTCAGCTGTAAGCCTCCTCCCACTTCCCATCCTTCTCTCTTTCATCATGCGGGAAGGAAGGCTCTGGAAGTGGCAGATCAGAGCAGCCATGGGGGAGGTGGTTTGACAGAGATAGGAAGGGCGTAAGCCCAGCAGAGCTCCCGCCCTCAAGCCAGCACCATTTCTTTCCCTTCTGCTTTACCTCTGTCGGCACAGCACCCTGGGGGGCAGGGAGGCAGAAGGTGGGCAGGACGATGTAGAGGACAGAGATTTGGGTTCCACTTCTGACCCCGCCCCTCTTGACCTCAGGTAGCACCCTTATTTTCTGGACCCACCTTTCCCCACTGGCCAGAGAGGGAGCAAAACTCACTCCCAGATCTGACGCTGGGGACTGGAAAGTAGACTTCCCTGACTCTCATTAGCTGGGCTTTTTTGGAAGGAGGCTGTGAGCGTAAAGGAAACACCAAGGGGCCCTACTATGCAGTGGGCACATCACTGGAGCCGGCTTCTACCGGCCTGGCCTGCAGGATACCAGGGAGTTGCTGCTGCTGCTTTTTATTTTGATGTTTTATTGGAAAATTGAAAACGTACTCAAAGACAGAATAATATAACAATCCCCCATGTACCATACCAGCCTCGACAATTATCAACCTGTGACCAGGCCCATTTCATCCAAACCCCCCTGCTCAGTCCCCGGCACCCCCGGGATTACTTTGAAGACAGTCCCAGGCCTGTCCTCAGCATCCACCAGGATTTCAGTCGTGCAGTTCTAAATGAGGAGAACGTGCCACTTTTTTTTTGTGAAGCATAACCACAATACGGTCACACCAAAAAAACTTGACGGTACTTTCTTAACATCACCTACCCAGTCCTTGTTCCCATTTCTTAGATGATAATTTTTATACTTAATGTTTTCAAATGGGGATCCAGGTAAGGGCCACACAGTGCCTTGGGTTATTAGTCTCTCAAGTCTGTTAATCTCTTGCTTCCCACCCTGTCCCCTGCAGTTTATCTGTCACTGGGGGCAACATCCTGGGCCTCACCCCAGGACGCTGCGTGAGAATCTCTGGGGTGAGAACTAGATGGCTGCCAACACTGACCTGTCTGACTGGGGCCACAGTAAATGATTCTGGTTAGACTGGGAGAAGAATGCAGAACAAAACTCAAATTCTTAAAAATGGCCAGACTAACTGGACCACCTGAGACCAGAGGACTCCCTGAGACTGTCACCCTGAGACTCTTTAAACCTTGAGCCCAGACTGTCCCCTGAGATCACCTTCTAACCAAAAAGCAGAGTGACACACAAAATAAAGGATATTACCCGTTAGATCGGTACTTTACTGAAACACATCTGTAGGAGCCCAAGAGGTCAACATTTAATCCGAAGCAAAGATGAGAAGATAAGGGGGCAGGGAAACTAGAGTACTAGAAATGGAACAACCAGAGTACAGTTAAAGAGAATATGGACAACACAATGTGAAAAACGTAACTAATGTCATTGATCAGTTTGTATGGAAATTGTCAAAGAAGAACCTAATTTGCTGTGTAAACTCACCAAAAACACAATAAAATATTATTTTTTAAAAAAGAAAGACTCTGGGGTGGGTCAGCCAGGTTGGTAACAGCTCCCTGGGTGAATCTTATACTACCACCAGTCAAGGCGAAAAACTCCTCCAAGCAGGCCTGCCCAGAGGGTGTCTGTCTCTGCAGACAAGCAAGAGCCCTGAATTGGGGTTCTGGCCCTGGCTCCACTTCCACTGGGCTGTGTGAGCTTGGCCAATCTCTTCCTCTCTGGAGTTCCAGTTTTCCCATCTGTGTAACAGAGCTGGTACTGCTGATCTTAGGGGTTCACTGTGAGGGTAGATGGGCCCCTGTGAGCTGTGAAGTGCTGTAATGGGGCTTGGCAGGTGGGTGGCATGGGAGGGGGCTGGGAATGCCCTGGGCAGCTAGAATGGCCTTTGACTTTGTTCAGCTGCCCCGAGCTCTTTGGACCCCTTGCCTTGTAAAACCTTCCCCCACCCTCACCTCCCCTTCCCTGGCCAAGCCTTTAATCACTGCGGGGGTGTGTTTTGTTTTTGTTTTTCAAGGTGATTAAACCCCCTCTGATTTTTGTCGACCCTAATCGTAGTCCGGCTGGCCCAGCTGCTACCCCCGTGCCAGCCCAGGCTGTGAGCGCCCCAAGGAAGGCCCAGGCCTCGGAGAGCACAGCCAGGAGCTCCTCCGAGAGCGAGGATGAGGATGTGATCCCTGCTACCCAGTGCTCCACTCCTCCTGGTGAGGGCGGCCCACAGTGCGGTGCTTCACTGCCGGAGGCCCAGAGGGAGAGGGCCTGGCCCCAGTCACACAGCAAGTTTTTGGCCAGGAGGGGCTTAGGCCAGGTCTCAGCCTGTGCTACTTTGTCAGATGCAGGGCTGGCTCAGATGCACAGCTCTGAAGAAACGCTTCCCAGAATTTCTCTGTGGAGGCTCTCGGGTAGAACCCCAACCAGTAGCTGGAAGCTACAGGCACCAGGTTTTTGCACAGTCTAAGGAAGAGCTTTCTAACAACTGACTGAACACGAAGTGGGCTGTCAGGGTGGTAGTGACCTTCCCGTCACTGTGGCATGTAAAGGCGGTTAGTTAGTCCCTAAGCAGAGATATCATAGGAGAGGATTACATGTATCAGTGGGAGACAAGACCAGATCTGGGCTTTCTTCAGCTTCTGAGAACCAGTGATTTTACCAGTGGTAGCAGAAAAACGGTTGTTACTATTATTGTTATTATTATGGTTTTTATGAGGAAATACTACTTGATCTTGGTAGGACCATTAAGAAATACGTATTTGCACACACACACACACACACAGAATATCACCTGTAATCCTACCACCTAGAATAATTACTATTAGCATCTTAGAACGGTTTAACTTTACAGAAACCTAAGGTGTTTTTACAGTGAGATCACACGTCATAGTGTTCTGTGATCTTCACTTGCTGTGTTGTGAACGTTGTTCTTTTGGTCATGACATCTTTACTTACAGTGTGGTTTCTCCTGGCTACAAAGTAGATGGAAGCTACAGGAACCAGGTTTTTGCACAGTCTAAGGAGGAGCTTTCTAACAGCCGACTGAACGTGAAGTGGGCTGTCAGGGTGGTAGTGAGCTTTGGGTGGACCTTAGTTTATTTAACCAGTACCTTATTGGAGGCAGCTGAGGGGTGTTCTTTGCTGTTATAGACAGTGCTGCAATGAACATCCATACCTGAGCCTTTGCACATGGCCATGATGATTCTCCTGAGGGACTGATTAAAGTATAGGGAGGGGTGAGGAGAAAGCCTGGGTCACAGCCCCAGCAGCTGTTGAATCGCCCTGCACCTTGGTTTCCTCATCTGTAAAATGGAGATGATGATAACTGTCAGGAAAGCTTGGGCATGGGGATTAAACAAGTTTCACCTGCGTAAGTGTTGAGCCCAGTGCCAGGCCCCAGGAAGGGCTGAAATGGATATTACAGCTGCTGAGGAGGCCCTGGGGCTTCTGTGCCCTGACATGTCCCCTTCCCACCCCATTTCAGTCATTAGAACCAACGTGGTAGCCAGCAGCAGCGAGGAATCCAGAAGAGTGGCAGAAGGCGAGCAGCAGAAGGCGCCAGCCACTCAGGTACCCGGGGGCAGGGCAAGGCTGTGAGGGCCGCGGGGGCTCCCCGCTCTGCCCAGCCTTATGTGCGGCACGCTGTCTACCACCCACCCAGAGGTAGCCACCTGATGCCATGCTCCCTTCTGCTCAAGTTGTCAGGGAGAGTAATAGGGAACACGGCATCCTTGACTCTCCCATCGGTTTCCCAGCGTGGTTGGGCTCTGATGTAGTTTTCCTCCCTCTTGGTTTTGAAATGCCCCAACAAAAGGTGTCCTTTTGGTTATTCATGATAGTGACTTAGCATTCTTTCCAGCCATCACCATTTTCAGTGCATATTTATTTGATCCTTGTCTGAATCTAAAAGCTGGGCAAGGTAGGATAACAGCTCATTGTTCAGATGATAAAACAGCCTCCCCAGAGAGGGTTGTACTCTTCTGGTCAAATCATGTCTGTTTTCTGTCCCACTGAAAGGGAGAAGTGCACCGCCTTCCCCCCACCCCAAAACCCCGCCGGCTTTTGAGCGTCCAGGAGAGAGCTGGGCGGCTGTAGGGGGAGTCAGGCACCTCTAGCTCAGAGGGGCTGGTGCACCACCCATTTGCTGGGCTCCCATGAGCTAAGCGTGGGTGCTGGGAGGGTGGCCAGGCCATGGTCACTGCCCCAGAAACCTGCATCCATCGGGCCCTTCACCCAACAGGTAGTGCTGAGACTCTGCTTGGTGCCAGCAGAAGGCAGGCTGGGTCCCTGTCCTTGTTAAGGATGAGCGAGGAGGTAGCCATTTAACAAGAAAACCAAAAAAACATACAGTACTTGCCAACTGTGGTAAGTGCTTTGAAGGAAACAGATAGCGAATAATGAGGTGACCCCAGGCCAGGCTCCATCCACTTGGTGGCCATTCCCCAGGTCAGGATTTCGGGCCCTTTCTTTTCTCAGTGGCCCTGGGCAAGGGTTCCTGGTAGGCAAGATCCTGTTAATAAGGCACCACGGTAGTCCCTGTAGGGTGCTTTAGAAAGGATGGGCCTCCCTGAGGAGGTGACATGGAAGCAGGAGAGGCAGCTGGCCACAGGACAAGCTAGAGGCATGCCAGGCAAGCCTGAGAACCGGCAGCACAAAGGGGCAAAGGGACCAAGAGCTGGGGTGAAGTAGCAGGGGGCTAGGGGCCACAGCACGCAGGCCTGGCCTGAAGGGCAGTGGGAGGCCTGGAGGTTTTTGGCAAGGCTTAGTCATGCCCAGTTTCATGTTTAAGTTCTCTCTCTGGCTGCTGGTGGGTGTAGAAAGCAGGAGTGGCAACAGGGAGACTTTAGGAGGGCGTTGCAGCCACCAGGCTAGAAGCTTGTCCCTAATGGAGGCACAGATTGAGCGGTGGGGTGTGCTGAGCTGATTCCCTCCCCTGGGCTGCCGGTTGCCTTTACACCCTTTGAGGAGGAACATGATTAACTCATAACCTGGAGCCCGGCACCCAGTTTCCACCCAGGTGGTGACATTTCCCCTTTGCCTACCTCGCAGCCCCCTGCCCCAGCCCAGTGGCTTTTCCTGCCTGGGTCCCCTCCCACCCCAGCCAGGCAGGATCTGACCAGGGTGTGGCACAGATGGCATCCCCAGAACCCGGGAGTCTCAGGGTTGCCTCTTGCTGTTCATAGGTGACGAAGAACCCAGCTTCCCTCCCACTGACCCAGGCTGCACTGAAGGTCCTCGCCCAGAAGGCCAATGAGGCCCAGTCTCCCACTGCCAGGACCCAGACTTCAAGTGGGGTGAGCTTGGGGAGCAGGCAGTTTCACAGACAAGTCAGGTCCGTGGCTGGGGAAGCAGATCAGGAATAGGGGAGCAGGGGACCAAGACCACCAGCTCTGCTCCCAGAGGCAAGGCTATGGTCATTTCTGGGCCCACCCTGGAGGAGTACATGATTAAAATCCACAGTGTGTGAGGGAGAGCACAGGCACGGGCTTCATCCCAGCGCCACCATTCACCTGCCCTATGACCTCGGCACACACGTTGACCTCTCTGGGTCTCAGATACCCAATCTGTAAGAAGGAATAACAGCATGCATTTTAGAGAGTTGTGAAAGGGACCAAATGAGGCTGTGTGTGAAGGGCCTAACACAGTGCCTGAAGTGTTCAGTAAGCACCAGCTCTTCTTTCCCCTGATGTTTTTCTTCCATTCTTTCTCCTTGTACCAAATTAGGTTGGCAGTGCTCTAGGAAAGCCCCCTGGGCTGAGTCCCCAGAGCAGCCCGGTCCAAGCCAGAGGAACCAACAAGCTCAGAAACCCTAAGCTTCCCGAGGCCCAGCCAGCTGCAGCCACTCCCTCGAGACGCCCCAAAGCCAAAGCCTCTGGGACTTCAGAGGACAGCAGTGACAGCTCCTCAGGGAGTGAGCAGGATGTTGAGGGTGCCCAGAGGGCCAAGTCGGCACACAGGCCAGGTGAGGGGGCCAGGAGGGAAGGCTAAAGTGGGCCTGGAAGGGGCTGACAGGTGGCCCTGGGCTCCAGCCTCAGCTCTTTTACCTTGACTTGCTCTGAGACCTTGGCCCAGTCATCCCACACTGGGCCTCGGTTTCCTTACCTGTACAGCCCCGTGAGGGAACAGCTGAAGTCTTGGGCAGGAGGGTGAGGCATATACAGAGGGGGCAGAGTCCACCTTGGACTCCCAGCAGAATGCCTGTGCTTCTCCAGTAGGTCCAGTTCCCACCGGGAAGGAGACCTTGGTGGAAGAAACCACAGAGTCCAGTGAGGATGAGGTCGTGGAGCCTTCCCAGGTAACCGCAAGGGGGAGGACTGGCCACCTCGGGGTCTTGGGCCCAGAGCCCCAGGCCAGGCTCTGTCCACCCAGTGTGGTCTCAGGCTGAGGCCATCCCCAGGTCAGTGGTCTGGGCCCGTTCTTTTCCCAAGGGCTCTGGGTATGGGTTCCTGATGGGCAAGATCCTGTCTGCGAGGCACCAGAGTTATCCTGGTTCCCCAGGTGTGGCCCCACTTCAGTCTGTACACAAGGCTGAACTTGGTTTAGGTAACACCCAAACAAAAGCATTCTTTTTATTTTATTTTAACAAATGGGATTTCTTTTAAGATTACCATCTGTACATAGCAAGTGCTAGTGATTTTCCATCTGTATTAAATGTGTCTGTCTAAAATGTGTATTAACTGAAAGAGTGTAGGAGATAACCCCAAAGGGCTGATGTGTGGGCTGGTAAGCCTGGGCCTCCCTGGGCCTCCGTGCCCATCCGCTCTGCCCCAACAGTCTTCCGCACAGCAGACCACATGCTCAGGGGCTGGGTGGGGCAGGGTCCGGACCTCTTTCACATTGGGCTTCTTCAGTCTCTCCTCTCAGGTTATGTGACCACTCGGTTGACCCCGGCCAGTTCCAAGGCTTCAAAGGCCACTCCCAGGCCAGACCCCAAACCCTCAGTATCCTCTCCTCCGGCCACCAAAGATGCCCTGGATGGCAAGCTGGAGGCAGAACCCCAACAAGCAGTTGCCACCACGTCTGCTAAAACAGGTGAGTCAAGGACTGCAGGAGGGACATAGCAGGACACAGAGGGACATTCCCAACATGGTCCTGTTTGCCACCAGGGCCTTGCTGAGTGGGGCCTTGTGCTCCTGTTATCAGACCTGAGGTGCTCATCAATGTGTATGTGGGGCCCACCCCCAGGAGCGTGACTCTGTGGTCTGGGACAGCCCTGGAGGATGCTGATGACCCCTGCATTAGCAGAGGCAGCACCCTTTGGCTTATGGAGGAGGCCTTGGCTCTCTGAACTGTCCATATTGGCATTTCTTCCCAGATGGTGGTTGATCTGGGCTCTTGGTGTGGGGTGTAGGGACTTAGAGGGTAGCTCAGACAAGTCTGGGAGCCATGTTTGGAGGAGTCTCCAACACCTGGAGAAGATCCCAGAGCCATGGCCTGGCCCCCTGGGCCTAATGCGTCGTAACCATACAAGGCAGGGTTGACCTGCCCAGTCTGTGTCAAGGCGTGGTGCACACGGACAGTAGAAGCACCGGGGTTAGGATGCAGACCAGAGTGCACGGGAGGCTGTTCAAGATTGCGGGTCACCCCGCCCAGGACTTCAGCCATCCCTGAGCCTGTCAGAGCTAAGGGGACAACTCCTCAGCTGGGCACCCCAGGACAGCTCTCAGGGTTCCCCAGCCTTGGTGGTCTAGGGTATTTATAGGCAAGAAGCACAGAGATAGGCAGTGGGGGAAGGGGTTACCAGGTGGGCCTTGCCCTCCTCAGTTTCCCTCTCTAGCCAGCTCCTGTCCTTGCAAAGAATCACCAAAGGACTGAATTGGGCCGTATCTGCAGGAACAGGCTCCCAGAACCCCTCGGCTTGGCCTGCCCAGCCCACCTCACCAAGCCCACCACAGCTCTGGAGCCAGAGACCCCACACTGGGGCTGGGGGCACTGTCTGGGGCCCATTGTACACTGCAGGGAGCAGCCCCCAGCCTTGTGACATGGAAGAGTCCCCCGCTGGGCTCCTCAGGGTGGACACTCCAGGGCCACACCACTAGCCCATCTTCCAGAGCCCAGCATATGGAAGGCCCAGTATGGACGAGAGTCTCCCGAGTCACCTAGGAATAGGTGGCATCGGACACTAACCGCAGTCCCAGCCCACCCATGCGCCTCTACGGCAGCCTGCCTGGTGCCGGCTCAGGAGAGGAGTCACCGCTCACTGACTCCCCTAGGTCTCTTCTCTCTGTCAGGGGCGGGTGCAACAGGGAGACATTTTAGAGGGGGCTGTGTAAGGTTTTTTTTACACATGTAGTCAGCACACAATTATCAAAGGAGCGCAGAGGCGTGGAAAATTCTAAACAAAGGCCGCACCAGAAGTCGCTCTGGCAGGCAGCCAGCCTGCTCAGTCAGTGCCACATGCGTGAGCGCCTTACTCGCAGCCCCCCAAAGCCACCCGGAGCCTGGGCCAGCAGGGGCCACGGGCACGCCGTGTGCAGGGGAACGTGAGCTGAGTGTCTGCGGGGCCTTCACTTCTATTAAAAATCTAGGATTTGTAATAGGAAGACCTGCTATTCATCCAACCCCTCGTTTTACAGACGGTGAACCTGAGGCCCTGGTAGGAGCCAGGTCCTGGTCAGAGTCACATTGCAAGTTGTTGGTGAACCCAGGACTCCTTCCCTCCCAGCTCAGGACTCCTGTCTAGATGGTGCCTTCTCCCTCCCGTCAGCCTTTTGCTGACAGATCTCAGGCCATTTTGTTAGCATTCTGGAGTTATTTTCCATCTCCAACCCCAACTTGAGTGGAGTTTAGTGTAAGGAGACAAAGAAAAGAGCTCTGAATTAGAAATGACGTTGGGACGTGACATGAGTAGAAAGGTGTGAGCAGAGTGACCACCGGGCCTCGCTTTCCCCATCTGTACTGCGTACGAGCAGGTGGATTCCGTCCTCAGACCCCCTTGGCTCTCACATACCATGAGAGATCTGCCCCCCAGATCTGTGACCCTGAGTCCTCTCTCCACAGGCAAAAGAGAGGCCACCTCAGGCACCAAGCCTCGAAAGCCTCGGAAGCCTAAGAAGGGGGCCGTGAGCCCCCAAGCTTCACCGCTGGCTCTGCAGAGCGACATCGCCCAGCGCCTCCTGAGTGAGCCCTGGCCCCTGAGTGAGGCCCAGGTGCAGGTCTCAGTGGCAAAGGTCCTGGCGGAACTACTGGAGCAGGAGAGGAAGAAGGCTGCAGATGCCGCCAAGGAGAGCAGCAAGAAGGCCCGGGTGGGCCTCAAGCGGAAGCTGTCAGGAGACCAGCCCGCTGCTGAGACCCCTAAGAGCAAGAAGAAAAAGAAGCTGGCGGCCGAGGGTGGTGGGGAGGTTGCTCCTTCCCTAGAGAAGGCCCCCAAGGCTCCCAAGGGAAAATCAAAGAGAGACAAAGCGAGTGGTGACATCAAAGAGAAGAAGGGGAAGGGGTCTCCTGGCTCCCGAGAGGCCGGTGAGAAGCCAGAAGGGGGTCTGGGAGTGGTGAAGGTGGACGGTGGAGACCAAAGCAACCCAAAGAGCAAGAAAGAGAAGAAATCCGACAAGAGTAAGTGACTGGCTGCGGCCCAGAGCTGGTTTCCCCATGCGCACGCTGAGGGGTGGTGGGTGTCACGCTGGGGCGGGAGGGACCCTTGGCCAGTACCTAATCTTACCCCTCCTGTGTAGAAGGGAGAAGCTGGAACTGGTTTGCCCAGGACCATGGGGGCAGATAGCAGCAAAATGAGAACTGGATTCTGGAGACCCGGGCCAGGTGCTGGTGCTCACTTTGGGTGGCCAGAACCACACGCTCTTAGCTTTGGGCCTCTCAGGGGTCTGAGCTCAGGGTCCAGCCTTAGCAGGGACAGGGAACAATGGCTTCTTCCCCCCAACCCAAGTCAGCAGATCTTGTAGGAGACCTTTCTCCAGCTGGCTTCCTGGGTACTGAATGGCCAGGGAACCAGAGGACCTGGTGTTCACCCCAGCCCCATCCTCTGTAGGCATCCATTTCCCCACCATTGTCACGTTGTTCGCTGCCCTCATGTCGGCCCCTAACTCATGGAGACCCCATGCACAACGGACCAAAACACTGCCCAGCCCTGTGCCATCCTCATGATTAGTTGCTGATCAGACCATTGTGATCCAGAGGATTTCCGTTGGCTGATTTTCAGATGTAGATTGCCAGGCCTTTCTTCCTAGTCCATTTTAGCCTGGAAGCTTTGCAGAAACCAGTTCAGCATCATAGTAATACACCACATGTGGTGCCTTGGCCAGGAATTGAACTTAGTCTTCCATGTGGCAGGATAGAATTCTACCACTGAACTACCACTGGCCTCACGTTCATCATAGCTGCCCCTTAAGGAGCTCTGTGCTGCATTCTGCATACAGTAGGCCCTCATTTCACCCTTATACCAGCCCTGTGCAGTAGGTGCTGTTCATTCCCATTTTACAGACAGAAAACTGAGGCTCAGGGTCATGGAGTTTGTAACAGGTGGAGCCAGATTCAGACTCAGGCAGTCGTGTCAGGCACCTCCCTGCGTGTTGGGACCGAGGTGAATGAGACCTGATAGATGCCTAAAGAACCAGCTCCCTCCAGAGCCAGTGCAGGCTCGCCCACAGAGCAGGGCATGCAGGCTACTACCCAGAGCGATTTGTCTGGTTACACTGGGTTTCCATTTACAGCAGGATAAAAAGCGTCCTTTATAATAGGTGTGTAGATGCTTTTAGGAAACCCTGGTGGCGTAGTGGTTAAGAGCTACAGCTACCAACCAAGAGGTCAGCAGTTCAAATCCTCTAGGCGCTCCTTGGAAACCCTGTGGGGCAGTTCTACTCTGTCCTATAGGGTCACTATGGGTCGGAGTCGACTTGGCAGCAATGGATTTTTTTAGATGCTTTTAAAAATGAGTTAACTGAAGGAAAAATAGTCCAGGTGGTCTGCGGATGGAACAGGAGTCTTGAGGCAGCTTGCAGGCCAGGATGGGTGGTCACAAAGGCCCACCCGCAGGCCTGTGTTTGGTGGCTCGCCATGGGTGGTGGGGGGAGTTGGAGACCCAGCAACAGGAGTGAGTTCTGGGTCCCTGGAGCCCCGCCCCTGTGTGTCTCCCAACAGTGACCCTACTAAAGAGTAACACCTGCCGTTCAGGAAGGTTACTCTTTCTTTCTTCCCTCAGAAAAAAAAGACAAGGAAAAAAAGGAAAAGAAGAAGAAAACAAAAAAGGCCTCAACCAAAGACCCTGACTCACCATCCCAGAAGAAAAAGAAAAAAAAGGTAGAGTGACTTCCTGAGGGGTCTCAAGCCAGACAGGGGGCCCAAACCCAGTCCCCAGGGTGAATGTTGTCAGCTCCATCCCACACGTGTCAGGCTGAGTCCTGGGCATGGGACAAGAAGGCCCCCCTTCCATTCTCGGGGTACAAAATGGGGCTTGTGAGCGGGACACATGAAGGAAGAGCCGAGAGGGCATGCCCCCCCACCCCGCCCCGAGGAGGCCCAGGTCTTGCGTATGGTGGGCTATGGAGTGACCCCATCCTGTCTGAGGTAGAAAGATGTTCTTAGGGATTGCTGGTGAAAGAAGGAAGGGCAGGCAGAGGGAGAGCAGGTAGGCCATTGCAGGTTTCCAGGTGAGGAAACATTACTGAGGATGTGTCTGCCCAGCTGGTAGGGCATCTCCACCAAAAAACACATCCTCTGCTTAACGATGTCAAGGCTGACCACCAGAACAAGGCTGTCCTTACAGTCTGGGCCTCAGCACCTTATACTCAGATGTGTCCTTGCTGTGGCCAGCAGGGGCCTCAGCTGAGTTTAGGAAAGCTGAACATCCTGCTGCTACAAAGCCCTGGGTTTCTTTCTTGAGGGCACAGTGTGGAGTTCTGCCCTCAGGGATCCCTCCATACCCAGTGTCTGTTCTAGGGGAGCCACGAATCCTCAGTAGGGAACCACCATGTCCACGGGTGGGGGCAGCAGTGGGTAGGGAGAGGTTTCAGTTACAAGAGCCTCTCGCCTTTCTCCCCCTACAGAAGAAGACAGCAGAGCCGACAGCAGAGCAGACCGTCTGAGGGGCACAGAGTGGCAGGTACATCCTGGCCCGGGAAGCCCTCACCAACCATCTGCACCCCGGGTGGGGTGGGAGGGCAGCAGAATCAGAAGGATCCAGAAAAGTGATGGAGATGCTGATAGCGAGCACTCCTGGTGCAGCTGCTGTGCGTGCCCTGAGTGGTGGGCGCTGGAGGGGTGCCTGTTTATGGATGAACAGGAGGCTTGAGGTCGGACGCAGCTTGTTCTCACCCTCACTACATGTCCAGTTCCTTTTCCTTATGATCTGTAACTTTGACGCTTTCCTCCTGGGAAGGAAGATGGTTTGCTCGAGACAAGCCATCCCAATTAATCTGTGCTTCCCCATAGAGGAACAGTTCTGCTGGGTGGTAGGAAAGGGTTAACTGTCTGAGTGAGTCACCCAACCTCTCTAAGCCTCCATCTGCTTGTCTGGAAATGGCGGTAACACAGAACTTCCCTGCTACGATGGAGGTGAGAATTAAATGAAGTTAAGCACTTAGCCCAATTCCCAGGACACGGGAAGTGCTGATAAATGTCACTGTGGTTAGTGGACGCCCCTCTGCGTCTGAGACGCCAGCTTCTGGTTTGAGTTTGTTCTACTTCGTGGAGAGAGAATTCAGGAAATCTTACGTCCGGATATGCTTCCTCTCCCCAGGAACTTCTTAGCCAAGTGGTGACCATTCCCACGCCTCTGGCCTCTACCCACCATGGGTTGGAACTGAATTTTAACTTCCCCTCCGTCCCCAGAAGAAACCAGGACTGCCCGCAGCCCAGTGTGCTGGCCGGGCCGGTGAGCCCTGCAGAGAAGCTGGCCCAGGAGGAAGTGAGCCAGCGCCTGGGGCCTCCCCTCACCCCCGCCCTCCCCAAGTGCACAAGACATCTCTCCAGACACAGGACGCTCATAGAGATGTGTACAGTATATATATATTTTTTTAACTGACCTGCCCCTCCCCGCTCAGGCCCAACATGCCCGAAGGCCGCTGGACCTCCCACCACTTTGCCCTGCAGGACCCAGGAGGCCCAGCATGTGGCTTGGCCCATGCCACTTGGTCTCCAGCTGATGCTGAGGCTTTATCCTCCTTTTGTCAGTTTCTCCCAGTTTTGTTTTTTTTTTTTTAACAACTCAAAAAATAAAAGGTTTGAAGGAAAGATACAAGTTCCAGTGCATCTGGGGCAAATGCTCGTGCAGTTGATTTATTCTTGGCAAGGAGAGTCTGGCTGACACTTAGAGGTGAACGAACTGACATCCAGAATTCACTCTCGACTGTCGAGGCTCTGGGATACTGGGGTGGGCGGGGTACACGGTGCTGGAGGAAGCAATCTGTGCCGTAGAGACACAGCAAAGTACCCTGGGAGCTGGGGCAGCACAGAATTGGGTGGGGAGGGCTTCCTGGAGGAGGTGGCATCTAAGCTAAGGGAGAGCTTAAGGATGATCGGGGTTGGTTTCCAGGCGCTAGAGTCGGTCATGCACAGAAATGGAAGGGGGCCTTATGAGCTACCTTTTGGAGTTAGGACTTGAGCTGGGAGCAGAGGAAGTGACATTGTCATGTGTGCAGGGTGTCTTGGGGTATGTACATGGTGGGGAATAGCTGTGAGCAGACCCAGTAGAAGCAGGAAAACCAGTTAAGCATGAGTTACCCTCACATCCAGGTAAGGAAGGTTCTGTGGTGGTGAAGGCAAAATGTGGATGAAGTCAGAAGACATCTAGGGGGGTTATGTGTTCAGGATGTGGTGATGGTCTGGGTGTGGACTGAGGGAGGGAAAAGCTGTCTCCCACTGCTCCAACCCAGAGATCCAAAGGCCGCTTCCCTGGGATAGCGCTTAGGTCCAGAACAGTGTGGAGCACAAGAAGGCTTGGAGCTTTCTCTCTGAGGCCTTGGCCTCCTGCTGGATACAGCAGGAGGCAGTGGAGGAAAAGAAAGCACTGGGCTGGAGGTGGAGACCCAGGCTGGCATCCAGCTGAACCCTTAACTCAGAACCCTTGGGCAAGACCCTTCCTTTCCTCTCTCCTGTGAGTGTACCGGTCTAGGACGTGGGCTGCAGAGTGGGGTCCTGAGTGGGCTCTGTTGACTCACAGCAAGTCTTTAAATTAAAAACGGAGAGATCTCACTGAGTCGTCTCCATTTCTGGCTCTTGAAAAGTCAAGAAATCTGGCAGCAGGGGCCTCCACTTTCTTCTGGCACCAACCAGCTAAGTAGGGTCAGCCCTTTAGGTAGGTCAGGGATGCCCCAGCTGTCCACAGCCCACCCCTGTTGTCCCTGACACGGGTTCCATGTCAGTCATCAACTCTTGTCACACTCGTACTGTTCTTGGTGCAGAAGTGAGAACGGTAATGTGAGAAAATGAAGCTGGACCATGAGGACTTTGTGCTCAAAGAATGAATGGGCAAGAGTCTGTTTCTTAATAATGAGCGTTTCTGTGTGTTACACATGCAGACCAAGTGTGTCTGCAAAGCATACACCCCCGCCCCCATGCCCACCGGCATTTGTGTGGGGGCTCCCTGGACTGGATTCTCCCGCCCAGGTAACGGTTCAAGGTTCATAGCCCTGAGAAGTAGGACCTCCTTGGGATAAAGGGCTGGATCCCAACAGAGCCAGAGCCAGACGTGTTCCACTACTCACTACCTTTTATTCTTACATGAGCCAGGCCGAGGCTGAGGACAAGCTTGGTGTGCGCTGAACACAGGGCAGTGGAGTTGGCAGAGAGTGAGGAGGGGTTGTGGGTGGAAAGGCTGGCTTCCTGGGTGAGTGGTGCTGGGGAAAGGGAAGAGAGTGGCTCGTCCCCAGGCAAATAGGCTAGAGAAGCCGAGACTAGAGGTCAGGTAGGAGAGGAGGATGGCAAAGGTGCCCAAGGCTGGGGGTGGGGTAGTCCTCTCTCCCTGCGCGTTTCCCTTCACTGCAGGCCTGGATCTTGGAGTCCCATGTTGAGGCTGCTGTGGTGTCAAGAAAGGGGTCAGCCTAGCTTTTGGCCCACCTCAGGCCTAGGCCAGTTGGTGGGTGGGGATTGGGCAGCATGGCTGCCAAGCGCCCTCCTGCGTCGATGGTCTGTGCTGTTCTGACGATTGTCGTGTCCAAGGATGATGGAGAGCCAGGTGCCAGGTCTCTGATGGGATGAGGTGCAGGGCCAGAGACGGAAAGGGACACAAGGGAAGGGGGAGGGGGGCTCAGACCGGGGGGTGCGGGGGGAGCAAGAAAGCTGTGGCCATGTAGGGATGGCTGGTGTCAGAAGCTGCCTCTGCTGTGCTTAAATGAAGACTACGGAGAGAAGCAGAAGATTGAGGTTAGGTCACCTGTGGCACCTGCCCTTCCCAGCATCCTGGGGCCTCAGAGCAGCTGAGGAATCTCCACCATTTACTGCCCCCTGCTCTGGTACAAGTACTCATACCCCTACACAGAGCCAATCCTGTCCATCTGTGAAGTGACGTCCCAGGGATGCTGGGCATGACCCAGGGTCATGCATGCTGGGCACCCACCCACAAGGGAGCAGGCCTGGCCAGGGTTGAGTTGCTGGGGATAGGACAGACCTCCTCTATGGGGCCCTTACCTTCACCCACACCCTGCTTGGTCAGGCCCAGCCCGGAGGTCAGGTCCTCCAATTCCAGTGGCTCTGCAAAGGAGCAGCAAATGCATTTGTTGTTTGTAGCCCCGCCGTTACCTTTCCCCACCCGTCAGTGAGGTGCCTGTAGGCAGTCCCCAGACTAGCCACTGCCTAGCGCCTGGGAAAGCAGGAGCTGCGGGGACGGCTGCTTGCTGCATGGCTGTGAGCATCAGTGAGGGGGCATGCCTGCAGGCTTGGGAGCAAAACCCAGGCAGGAGAGTGATGAAATGAGAAAATGCAGGTTTCCTGGATGCATAAATGGATAGTGAATGGATGGCTTGAAATATCAGAAGAAAGGAAGGACTGGTAAGTGGAGGGAAAGGAAGAAAGAAACGAACAAATGAATGAATGAGTGTGGGTATGAGGAGAGAAATAATAGATGGAGGGACAGACGAGTGGGTGAATGAAGGGGTAGACGCATGACTGAGAGGCTGCCCCCAAGAGCTGTCATCCTGAGGTCCTGGCCCCAGGTACTCCAGGAGGACCTCTTGCCCCTCAACTGCACCAGCCTTCCTGGTCCTATGACACTCCCTGGCACGGTGGCCACCGCTTACCACTGCAGTTGTGGTGCCCGCGGCTCCTGGTGTGGGGGACCTCGGTGCCGTTGGGGAAGACGCACCAGCAGTAGCCGATGCTCCCATAGCACTGGAGCGGCATATAGTTGCCGTTCTCGTCGCACTTGGGCCTGAACATGCCCGGGTGGATGGCAGGGATGCGGCTGACCTCTTCCTGGCACTTGGTCAGTGCTGAAGAGACAGGCATGGTGAAGACACAGTGGGTGAGTGGGCTCTGGGCTGGGCTCTCAGCGCTGCCAGACACCGATACACCATTGCTGTATGCCTTCTGCCCAAGTGGCTGCACTCACTCTACCCATTGCACAGATGTGAAAACTGATGCCTGGACCAATAAGGTCCCAGATCAAAGAGGATGTGAATAACTGTGGCTAATTCATCCGAGAACTTTCCAGTTTCTCCTGAGACTCTCTCAGTGCCTATTAAGGTTTGGAATAGCACCTGTAATTCTGGTTTCTAGAGAATAGCAATGGGCCCTTTGGTAAGTCTGAGCTTCCTGTATTCAAGTAGAAATGGGGTTACCATTTGTTAGGGATGTTGTAGAGGAGATTCAAGCGTCAGGGAGATAGAAGTTGGCTGAGGTGGCATCTAAGGTGCTTTCTAGATTTAAAGATCTATGAATGTATGATGGAGAAATCTGAGGCTCAGAGTAGGGTCCGGCAGTGACCATGCACGGCAGGAAACAAGCGCAGAGGAAAGACACTTGCCCAAATGTGCACAGCCAATTAGAGACAGCACCAGATGATGATGCGGCCCTCTTCAAGGCTTTACAGCTAAAATATCCTGGTTTAAATTTAAAATATCCTGAAACTGCAAGGCCCCCTTGTGCGGCACTCACTGGCTGCAACCCGGGGGAGGTCCCCTCTGAAGAGCGGGGATTGTAAGCCCCTCCTGCCCCCTCACTGGAAATTTTGGAGAACAGGGCAGCAAAGGCCCTTATGATGATTCTTGGTGTGTTTTGATTTGTTTGCTCCAAGCCCCCTTGCACAGTGCCATCCTCCACAGTGGAGGTCACTTCCTGAAGGGAGGCCTCTACCTAGGGCCCTCATAGTGTGAAACAACAGACCCACAGGCAAGATGAAGCCTAGGGGGCAGCCCAGTCAGAAGAAACAGACAGGAGAGACAGGAAGTGAGAATCAAGAGAAGCTGGGGGTCCCTGTGGTCCTCAGATCAGAGAGTGCTCAAGGCGCAAAACTGGGCAGCTCCAGGAGAGCCTGAGGGAGCCCCCAGGGCCCTGGCACCCCAAAGCACTCTCTCACTGTACCTTTTGTTGGAGCCTCAGTGGGCTTCTCCTCCATGGAGTTCTTGCTCATTTCAAACAAGAGCCACTGATGCATCCAGTTCTCGAAGACCTAATGGGGACAAAGGGAGGCAGGAGTGGGGGGAAGGAGTGTGAGGCGCACTAGGTGTCTCTAAGCCCCGCCCTGCCTAGTTTTACCCTTGGGGACAGGGACACCCAGGAGTCCAGCCACAGCCTGGTTCCCCCTTAAAGGCCCCAGGGCTTTGTCAAGTGGTCCCTCAACTCCGAGTATTTTACAGTGTTCAGGCCTTTGTAAGTGGTGGTAAGCCTCCTCCAGCTTCCTGAGAATGACCTCCCTAGCCCACCCCTCAGCTCATCTCTTCTCAGCCCTGCCAGAGACCTCCAGGGAAGAAGGTCTAGCACAGGGAAAGCTGCTGACCTTCCAGTCCAGGCCGTCCATGGTGTCCTTAAGGTGCTTCAGGTTCTCTGGGAAGCTGCCCTTCAGCTGCGGGTACACTTTCAAGGGGTCAGTCCTCTGTAGGTAGCAGGGCAGGAAGGAAGGTTAAAAAGAGCTCCCTGGCAGGCAAGGTGAAATATGCAGCCCATGTTCCCCTGGTCTTCTATTCTAAGGGATGGACCCAAGCTGCACCAAGCCTGGACATTTGACTGAAGCCGTGATGGGAGGATGGGAGAGAGGATAAGGACAGTCTAGTTGTACAAGATCCCAGAGCTGGATATTGGGAGACCTGGGTTGCAGGCCCAGGTCTGCCAATACTCATCCCCCACCTCCGGTCTTCTACTACCTGTAGACTCCTATCATCTTTCAAGTGTCACCTCCTCCAGGAAGACTTCCTTAACCACCTCGAGCTAGATTGGGTCCCCTGCACTTCCCCAATCATTGTCTCCCACGTTAGCCTGAGATCCCCATGGAATCAGCGGCTGAATCCAGTTACTCCCCACTGTGTACCCAGAGCCTTAAACAGTGGCCGGCACAGAGCAGACGTACAGCAAAAGTTGGGAAGGAGAAAAGGAGTATCTGAGCAAGTCACATCAGGGCTTTGGGCCACCGTTTCTCCAACTCAAAAATGGAGGGAGGCTGGACTACACAGAACATTTAAGGGCCACGCCTGTGTTCCTTCGACAATCTGGCGAGTATGTGTGTATGTCTGCTGTGAGCCAGGCATGGTGCAGGCCCTTGGAGCACGGCCATGCCAGGGTCTTCTACCAGCAGGCAAGGACACCTGAATGGCCCCACTTACCAGGAGCATATGCATGACGTGGTCCTGGGGCATGTTGCCGTACTTGGTGGCATTCCGCATGGGCTGTGGAAGGAAGGAACAGAGGGTTACCAGCACTGGCCCCCAGAGGAGGATACTGAGGGCCCCAGTGACCTGGAGTGGGAGTCAGCAGCTATGGTTTGTGTAGAAGTCTGGAGTCCCAGGTGCTCAATAGGCCCATCTCTGCCATCTCCAAACGTGAGCTCCTAAACAAGTCACTTTAGCTTCCCTGCCTCAATGTCCTCACTGGTCAAATTGGCATAAACTTTCCTGCCCAGGGCTTTGTCAACAGCAAACAGTTTTGTGAACAGAAACATTATTGATATACAGCATCAAGTGGTTTGAGAATGTGAGGGGACTGTAAGATACCACGGGAAATGAGAAGCACTTTGTAAGCTGTAGAGGGCTATGCCTTCCTCCCCAGGAATGGTCTCAAGAAGCTCTTTCCTCCCCAACCCCGGAGAGCCCTCTTCTTCCTGAGGGGGGCCCTGCTCCTCCCCATCAGTCAGGACCCCCTCCCACCCTACGCTTTTCATGGGTCAGCTGCCTTCCGCTCCACCCAGGCTGGGAAACATTTCCCTTCCTCTGCCCAGGGTTGTCCTTACCCCCTGGGACAGGCCTTCCATGGGCAGTGCCCGCATCAGCATGGGGGTAGCCATCCGCATCTTGTTCACAGGCATGGCCGCTGTGGGGACAGGGCGAGTGGCATGAGTGTGGTCCCAGTGCCCAGGGAGGGGGGGAATCAGAGCCCAGGACTAACACCTCAAACCGAAGTGCGGAGGGGCTGGAATTCCCGACCAGAGGGAGAGGGAACGGATGTCTCAGAGGTGAGGGAGGAGGGGGGCAGGGTGGAGGTGGGCACCCACGCTTGGGAAGCTTCATGCGCAGGCTCTCCAGCTGCAGACCCTGGGTGGTAAACGTCAGCTTGTCCAGCCGGCCCTGCTGCTGGTACAGGAAGTAGGCGGTGGTGGCCTGGCCTGCCAGGAGCAGAGCCACCAGGACAGAGAAGCCAGTGTAGAGGGCCCCACGGCTGCATTTGCTGTTGGGGAAGAGGAAGAACAGGGTCAGAACAGAGGCCAGTGAGGCGGCTGTGTCCAGGGATGGCTGGGAGTGAAGAAATATTCCTTCATCGCCATCAGCTTCCGAAGCCCCCTAAATGCACACTCTGAACACAAATGGTAAACTGGCTGGGGAGATGCAGCTTGAAGACATTCCCTAGGCCTCTACTCCCAACCAGTGCTTCCCTGAAGTCCTCCCGGAGCTGCCCTTGGCCTTGACTGAGTGCGAAGAGCCAAGCGGCACTGTCTGACCCTGACAAGTCGCTCACCTTCTCTGTCCCACCTTGGTGTCCCACCTCTGCAATGAAGGATTGAGGTGGAGGATCTCTCCAGGTGACCTAAGGCTGCCCTCAAGGGGAAGGGGGCTGTCATCCCCCTGCCCTGCAGTAAAATTAGAGTTAAAGAGAAAAGGGGAAGAAGTGAGGTGGGACAGCAGAGAAGTGGCCCACGTGAAAAAGAGAAGTGGGGCTATGACATTTTAGGAGTGGATGAGAGGGTGGACAAGTACCAGGCCCCTCTCTGCAAGAGTCCCTGCCAGTCTTTGGGTCTCACTTCCCTCATCTATCACATGGGGACCTCTCATCTCAGCAATTCTAGGTTTGCGTGGTTTTCTTCTTTGAAGCAAGATCTAACTGTGACCACAGAAGTATCCCATGGTCATATCCACCCAGGGGGAATTTCAACAAGAGAATAGGTCCCTGAGCCTGTGTGACCTGGGTGGATGTCTCTTGTTCTCTGGACTGGCCAGACCTAGGCAGCCCTTGCAGCGGTGGGCCTTGGATGTGTTTTGGGGTGCATGCGCTGGGTGTTACAGGTGGGGGGGTGTACGGATCCTGCCTCAGGTCCCTGAGAGTTCCTGCACTGACCCATTCCAGAGGTGAGGCTACTAGGGTCCCACTGGAAACTGTCAGGATGAGACGGCACCCTGCTTATTCCAGCAACTAAACCCATTGCTATTGAGTGGATTCCAACTCATACAGCAACTAAAAAGACCAAAACAAAACAAAAATCCATTGCTGTCGAGTTAGCAAGGATAAAAACCAGTAAACCAGTTGCTGTCGAGTCGATTCCAACTCATAGTGACCCTATGTGTGTCAGAGGAGAACTATGCTCCACAGAATTTTCAATGGTTGGTTTTTCAGAAGTAGATCGTCAGGCCTTTCTTCCAAGGCGCTGGTGGGTGGACCTGAACCTCCAACCTTTCAGTTAGTAGCCAAGCATGTTAATTATTTGAGCCACCAGGGACTCCCAACTAGCAAAGATAGTTTAAGATACTCCAAGAGACCCTTCTGCCTAGCAACTCATGACGTCACAGGCATAGCTCATTCTCATTGGCTGCCCAGACCTCCATGATGTCTGGCCCAAGGCCCAGCACAAAGGAGAGTTATTCTGAAAAGGGAGAGAAGCAGAACCCCTGTGTGGGGAAGGGAGAGAACCGGACGGGAGAGAAAAATAAGTTCCACTTCTTGGCATGCCAAAGGAACAGGGCTTGCCTGGCCTCTAAAGGTGGTGAAAAGTCCACCCAGGTCTTCATTCTCGCTGGCTCCCAGCCGCATTGCTTCTACGTGCTCATCCCTTCTGTAACCCCACACCTAGTTCTAGTCCCAGCGCTACCCCTGACTGTGAACTTGGGGAAGTCCCTGCCCCTCTCTGGAGCTCGGCTTCTCATAAAGCCTCAGAATTTAGAAGGAGTCCTGGTGGCGCATTGGTTAAGTGCTCAGCTGCTAAACAAAAGGTCGGCAGTTAGAACCCACTAGCCCACTTCTCAGAGCCCTGCTGGTGCAGTGGTTAAGAGCCACAGCTGCTAACCACAGGTCGGCAGTTCAAATCCACCAGCCACTCCTTGGAAACTCTATAAGGGGTAGTTCTGCTCTGTCCTATAGGGTCGCTATGAGTAGGGAGCGACTCGACATCGATGTGAAGAATTTAGAGATCCTATTGAAGATGAGACCACATACCCTGCATTGGAAACCTGCTTCTGCCATTTCCTCAGCTGTGAGACCATGGACAAGTCTCTTAACCTCACTGAGGTAAGAGGACTTATTCACAGGGTTTTATTTTAAATACAATAATGAGGGTAAAGCTCGTGGCTCTGTACCTAGCACATACTTAGCACTTCATAAATAACACTATTACTACTCTCAGGGTTAACAGCTAACTTTTAACATCTGGCTTACTTCCTCTTTATGCATCTTGAATGCCTGTCCCCTGGCCCTGGAAGAGTGCCAAGCCTTGTCACCCCCTCCCTTTATTTCCTCCGTGTCACTGCCTCCTTCTTGAATAAAGAAAACAATTAGTCAAAGTCAAGAGCCAATCAGAACCAGCAAGAATCGTGATGCAAACGTTGCCAGGCAGAAGTGCTCACAGAAGGTTCCAAACAGGCTCAAGTCTGGAATGGCCCCTTGAGCACACAGGGTCAGGCTGGTTTTTAGAAGCAGTAACTGAACTAATGTGAAAATCAGACAAGAATTTGGCAAGGAGACATTGTTTCTCAACACCGAGCCCACCCTGGGTCTGCAACTGCCTGGATGGCCTGAGCTCAGGTGTCCTACCTCCCCTCTCTGCAAATCATGCCTCGAGAAGCGAGCTGTTTAGCGAGAGCTCAGATGGTAAAACGAGCTCAGTGTGTCCTGGGTTCAAACTCTGTCTCTGACACTCAGTAGCTGTGATAACTTAGGTAAGTCACTTACTAATAAGTTTCAATTTCCTCTTCTGTAAAAATGGGGAAAATGAAAATCATAAATATTCCTAGGGTTCCTATCATCAGGTTACTGTGAGGATCAGGGTTGTGTTTAGCCTTGAGTTATGTGTCAACACAGAACTAATCATTATAATAATAAAGTCACTTTATAATAAAGTCACTAACCGTGACTGAGGACTTAGCATGTATCAGATACACAATGAACAGCAACTATTAGTATGGCTATCATCATGATCATTATTATTATTATAACTGAGACCCAGAGGGAAGCAGTGATTTATCCAAGGTCACGCATGACAGTAGCAGAACCTGGACTCCTAGCCGTGGGATTCCCCAGGATTTTCAGAGGCCGCTGCTCTAACTGTCTATATCTGGTTACATGGTCCCCCAGAACCCAGTTCCTTGTGACATCTCTGAGCGTCTCTTCCAAACCCCTTTCTACCTGGCAACAGCTGACATCACATTTGGCTGGGTGTCCCCATAGATCGCAAATAACTTTTTAGAGATTAGAGGGGGTGGAGGGTTGGGGTCGCTACACTCTGTCTCCCCCTCCCCCCTTTTCAGGGAAGCACACGGGTGAAGCCATCTTGGGGCTGGGAGAGGGGGCCTGAGGATAGCTGTGTTGGCCTCTTGCTGCAGAGGAGAGGGGCACAGTCCACATTAACCCTGGGCCCCTTCCAGAAATTTAGCCAGAGCTCCTCCCTCCTTTGTAGACCCCCTCCCAACATCTCTCAATCCCTCCTGTGATTACAGGCGTCTCCATCTATACTACAGACGCCTGCAACTATAGTTCCCTTCGTACAAACATGTATACCATACAAGGTAATCAAGAGAAAACTTCTCTGTAATGAGCGGCTTCTGCCATGCTCTTTGAGAAACTGTTTATCCATCCAGGAGTCACAACACTTTCAAAATCTGGTCCAAAGTTTCTAACCTAGGGTTCATGACCCAGCTTTGGCGGGGGAGGGGGCAAGGGAATGGGGGGGGGTGGTCTGCAAAGTCCCTGGCATCCTCTGCGACATGGTGTGAAATTGCTTTTCTCTAGGGAGGGAGTCCAGGGCTCTCTTCTGACTTTCAGAAGGGAGGTCCAGGCCGCAAAGAAGGTTCCAAACCCCTCATTTTACAGAATAAGAAACTGAGGCCTAGAGCCAGCCAGAGACTTGCAGAAAGTCTGTGTTAGAGGCAGAGCCTGAATCTGCCCCTCCTGTACTCCCAGTCCAGGGCTCCTTCGGGACAACCGCACACCTGTGCAGTCGGGGACTTGTGTGCTCTCTCCTGTGCTCACACTTACCTCTCTGGGCCTTGGGGGCGCTGGCCCAGGATGGGCAGCTGCTCATGGTTGGAGATGAGGTCGCGCTGGTCTTCCATGGCCCTGGCCTCTGGTCTTCCCTCGGGGTTCTTGTTCTGCTGCTGCTGCTGCTGCTGCTGTCACTTCCTCAGCCTGCGTGTCTGAGACCCACAACCCCCGGCTCACCTCTTGAAGCTGGTGCTGAGGAGAAATCTGATTCGTCCACAGGAGGCCACTCCGCCCACCTGGGAGAAGTGGAAGTGAAAGCCACAAAGCTGGAAATACCCCGCTTGGGCAGGGGCAGGATGGGGACAGCGGGGCTCCTCAGGCAGGTAGAAGGGCCAACGCCTTTCCATTGGCTCCCAGGGCCCTCATCATTTGTTTCTAGGCAGACCTCTAAATTCACAGGGCTCTTTGGATGGTTGAAGAAACAGGCAAATGTCCATTCTCTAGACAGGAAATCACTCCGAAGCAGAAAATACTTTTGTTTGTCTCCCCCTTTCACCCATAGATGAGAGGCTGCTCACCAATCTGTGACCTTAGCAAGTCACTTCTTCTCTGGCCTCAGTTGTGTGGTCTCAAAAATGCAGGAGGAAGGCTGGATTCAGTGTTCCCTCTGCTCCCTTTGAACTGGAACTTTCATGAACCTAAGAGGTCATGGTTCTAAGGCAGGGTACTACCAATCGCCACTTACAGTAATAACCATCACTTACTAAGGCCTCCTTTGTGCCAGGCACTGTGCTGCTAATCGTTTGGCATGATGTTTTCACATGATGTTCACAGCAACCTTTTGAGGAGGGTTTTATTTCATTATGTGCATTACAGGTAGGGACACTAAATTGTGTGGTTTGAATTCAGAAGCGTGGGGGCCTCTGCAAGGGGGGCGTGTGGAAGGGACAGGGGGAGGGTGCCTAGGGAGATTTATCTGTGTTGGCAAGGTTTTGTTTCTTAATCTCCTTGGCTTGTATACCACATTTGTTTTACTAATCTTTGTCTTCTGTTTGTTTTTAAACTACCATTCATAATTTTTTTTTTTTTTAATTTAAAGGTTCTGCGGTTCTCAGATTCAGTAAGTTTTGGATTTCAAGAGTCAAGGTTAATGTTCTGCTCAGGGTCACAATAGTTGGCCCTGGATAGAATGGGAGAAAAATATGGAGCAGAACTCAAATTCTTATTTAAAAGAAAAAAAAAGCTACAAAAAAAAAACCAGATTTAGTGGTCTGACAGAGACGGAGGGACCCCTGAGACTAGGGCCCCTGGACACCCTGCTAACTCAGAACTGAAGCCACTCCCGAAGTCTACCTTTCAGCCAAAGATTAGACAGGCCTATAAAACAAACAATAACACATGTGAGGAATGTGCTTCTTAGTTCAATCAAGTATACAAGACCAAATGGGCAACACTTGCCCAAAAGCAAAGATGAGAAAGCAGGAAAGGACAGAAAAACTGGACAAATGGACATGGGGAACCCGGGATGTAAATGGAAAGGGAGAGAGGGCTGACACATTATGGGGATTGCAACCAATGTCAAAAAACAATTTGTGTGTAAGTTTTTGAATGAGAAACTAATCTGTGCTGTAAATTTTCACCTAAAGCACAATAATTTTTTTTTTAAAGCCAGACAAACTGCAACAGTAGAGAACAGAGGACTCCTGAGACCATCGCAGTGAGACACTCTTTAAACCTAAAACCGAGCCTACCCACTGAGATCACATTTTAGCGAAATAACAAAGCGGCACACAAAATAAAGGACATTACCCGTAAGATCAGTGCCCTACTTAAAAACCATCACTATGAGACCAAAAGGTCAACAATTACTCAAAAACAAAGATGAGAAGATAAGGGGGCAGGGAATCTAGGGTACTGGAAAGGGAACAAACAGAACACTATTAAAGAGAACATTGACACACTGTGATAAATGTTACTAATGTCACCAAATAATTTGTGTGGAAATTGTCAAATGGGAGCCTAACTTGTTGTGTAAACTTTCACCAAAAACTCAATAAAATATTATTTTAAAAAAGTCAAGATTAAGGTCGTACAACATAAAAAAAACCAAACCTAACCCATTGCCATCAAGTCGATTTGGACTCATAGCAACAATGTAATTAATGTCAATGAATTGTTCACTTAAAAATGTTAAAACAGCAAATGTTCTTGTTATATATGTATTTTACTACAATAATAATATGTTTTTTTTAAGCATCAGGGGAGATAGTATATGTATTTTGAGGGGAGAAAGAAGAGCAGGTATGGGCTTTGATGCAGATCCTGAGTTCAGATTCAGGTCAGGAACGTCCTAGCTGTGTGACCTGAGCCAGTCCCTCACCCTGTCTGAATTTGTTTTCTCCTCTGTAAAGTGAGGAGAGTAAATACTAGGCTTGCAGTGTTGTTAGACTAAGTAAGTGCTTAGCACAGAGCCTGGCACAAAGTGGATGCTCAAGAAATGACACTGATATTATTCAAATGTTTACTGCTAAGGTATTTTCTGGATAATCAAGACAAACGAAATAATATATCCACATAAAAACTTGCACAAGAATGTCCACAGTAGCTTTATTAGTAATAGCCAGCAACTGGAAATAGCCAAAATGTCCATCGGCAGGTGAAGGGATAAACAAACTGTGGTTCATCCATCCAGTGGTATACTACTCAGCAATAAAAAGAAGTGAACTATTGATTCCCACAATAACCTGAATGAATCTCAAAATACTTAGTATGTTTTGGGAAAGAAACCAGGAAAAAAAAAAAAAAGAGTATACACTGTATGGGTCCATTTATATAAAATTCTAGGAAATATAAACTAATTTACAGTGACAGAAAACAGATGTATAGTTGCTTGGGAGTGGGGATGCAGGGTGCAGTGGGAGGGAGGGATTCCAAAGGGGCACAAGGAAACTTTTGGGGTGATGGTTATGCTTACTATTTGATTGCGGTGGTTTTGTGGAAGGATGTATATGTCAAAATTTATCAAATTGAACACTTCACATTTGTACAGTTTATTGTGTTCAAATTATACCTCAATAAAATTATTAAAAATAAAAAAAGAATTTTTTAAAAGATTTCTTAAAATAAATAACAAAATAAATTGTGCTTCAAAGGAAACTATCAAGAAAGTGAAAAGACAAGGCCACAGAATGGGAAAAAATTTTAACTTATATATCTGATAAGGGTCTAGTATCTAGAATATATAAAAAACTCTTACATCTCAACAACAAAAGGACCAACAACCCAGTTAAAAATGGGAAAACTATCTGAATGAACATTTCCCTTAAGAGATATACAAATGGCCAGTAAGCACATGAAAAGATGCTCATTAATTGTTAGGGAAATGCAAATCAAAACCATAATGAGGTACCAGTTCACCACCACTAGGATGTCTATAATCAAAAAAGACAGACATGTGTTGGTGAGGATGCAGAGAAATTAGAACCTTCCTATGTATTTCTGGTGGGAATGTAGAATGGTGCCAGTGCTGTGGAAAACAGTTTGGCAGTTCCTTAAAACGTTAAACATAGAATTACCATATGACCCAGCCATTCTATTCTATCCAACAGAAGTAAAAGCATATATTCACATAAAAATTTGTACACACATGTTCATAGCACTATAGCTAAAAAGTGGAAACAACTCAAATGTCCATCAACAGATGAATGGTTAAACAAGATGCGGTATATCCATAAAATTGAGTATTATTCAGCCATATAAAGGAGTGAGGACATGGGTCCTGTCCTGAAAACAGGGGAAGTTGACGTACTGAAGCTGAAAGTCCCAGTCTTCTCCCCAACCCAGTTCCCAGAATGTCAGAAACCAGGCCTTCGCCATCCAGGCAACAGATTGGAGGATCTTTCTCTGGGGACCATGACCATCCTAGGAGGAAAGACCTAAAGATCCTGACATTGGCAGTTCCCTAATGAAACAACACCTACAGGGAAGTCCTCAAGCAGTAAGCCCTATTCACATCAGAGCTTACGTTCATTTTCTGGACAACCACAGATCATGGAAGATCTGAAGAAAGCCTCTAACATGAAAGAAGGTGAACAAAACAAACCTAAAAAAGCACCATGGTTGTTGTGAGGATCCTCTACAAGTCAAGGAACCAAGGAATGCCCAGGCTACCAACGAGAGAAATTGACACAGCTGAGACCCTGATTTGAACTTCTAGCCTCCAGAACTGTGAGAAAATAAATTTCTGTCTTTAAAGCCAAAAAAAAGCACCAGTGAGGAGACAAACTATCATTAATAGTCTTAGACATTGTTTCATTGCACCCATGAAACAAGAATTGATGTTATAAAGATAAAAATAATATCAGAAGAACAAATAAAGAGCTCTTGGAGATTAAAAATACAAGGGCAAAAATTAAACAATCAATAGATGTAATATAAATTTTAAAAAAATTCCAGAAAGTATACCAAAGACAAAAAGATAAAAATCAGAAAGAAAATATAAGAGAATTAAAGACCAGTCTAGGAGGCCCAACAGCCAAATATCAAATTTCCCAAAATAGAGAACAGAGAAAATGGAGGGGAAGAATTCATTGGTGAAACAATTTTTCTTTATATTTTCGGAACTCAAGGACATAATTTTCCAAACTGAAAGGACCCAGCGAGTACATAGGACAACATATGAAGATAAATCCCTACCAAGGTACATCTTTGTGAAGTTTTAAAACAATGAAGACACAAATAGGATTCCGTGAATTTCCAGAGAGGAAAAAACAAGACATAGACAAAGGATCAGGAAACCGAATGACTTTGGAGTTCTTAACAGTTACCTGGAAAACCAGAAGGTAATAAAGCAATGTCTTTAAAATTCTAAAGGAAAATGGTTTCAAGATATTTTCAGACATTCAGTATGTCCAAAAGATTTACTTTCTCACACCCTTTCTCATAAAGCTTCAGGAAGGTATTCTCCATCAAAATGGAGGAGTTCACTAAGGAAAAAGGAAGGCTTGGGACACAGGACACTGAAATTCAACTCATGAGAGCGAATGGGGTTCCCCAGGGTGATAATGAAGAGAAATCCCCGGAATAAAGCAACAGGTCCAGATTGGAGCAGCTCAAAGGCTCTGAAAGACATTTATTTCTTCAAGACGATAATTTTTTTTAGAATAGCCGATATGCTTGAATGTACAAAGGGGAGACTTAGATCATTTGGGGGGACTGTGAGGTTGAATTATGATAATTTCATGGAAAACTAAGCAAATCTGAAACCAAGACAACTTATTAACTCTTGGGAAAACAAAAGTTATATAGAAAATGAAGAGCAACCATAGTATACTAT